GTCCCTCCTTGGAAATCCCGGACACTGTGACTCCTTCCTTTGGTGGCTATGAGAATGACACAAGCCAATCATGAGTGTGCTTGGCTCACCACCTGGCATATAGTGAAAGGGCTCCAGAAGTTATTTTTATTGTTAATGTTATTGAATATTTGCGCAACGAGCAGAGACACCCAGGTAGATGCCCGTTGTGTCTGGGCGTCGGGGGGCCCTTGTTTGCCCCCACCTTGCAGAGCCCTTGGGTGTTGCTGGACTCATGTTCGTGGTGCAGGGTGGAATGTTTAACTCCTGACTCACGAGCTCCTTGAATWCCTGGTGCTTCCTTTCTGAGCCTCACTTTTGCTCTGTGTGATGCATTGACCTGTTTAGGATTAGAGGTCGTCCGTGCGATTGAATTTGGCCAAATGTGACTTGTTTCTGGAGCTGAGACTTTTTTATTTTCGTACCARGGAATGAACTCAGGGGCATTTGACCACTGAGCCACATCCCCAGCTCTATTTTGTATTTTATTTAGAGACAGGGTCTCAATGAGTTGCTTTAGCGCCTCGCTTTCATGGAGGCTGGTGATCCTCCTGCCTCAGCCTCCCAAGCCGCTGGGATGTCAGGTGTGCGCCACTATGCCCGGCTGGAGCTGAGACTTTTGAGGGAGGAGAATGGTGACTTCTTTACTCCAGAGGCCTTGGCTCCRTGCTCACCCCTTAAAAAAGAGCAGAGCTTTTCTTTCCTGCTACTCACTGAAGCGGCGTCCGCAGAGAGGTGATCAGATCCCTCCTGGGGACCTTCACGGTTAGGTGTACCTTCCCATCCCAGGGGCCACAGTTGGGGGCTGGGGTAGGGAAGAGGCAGAAGCAGAGCCCAGGCATGGATGGGGGTGTTGTTGGCGTGGGGTCCTGAGCCTGGTGCTTGTGACACTGTAGGTGCCAGGCTCCATACTGACTTGGTCATTGGCTCAGTCATCCTGGACAGCCTCCTGAGTCTCAGTTTCTTCTTTTTTTTTTTTTGGGGGGGGGTTACCAGGGATTGAACTCAGGGGCACTCGTCCACTGAGCTGCATCCCCAGTCCTATTCTGTATTTTATTTAGAGACAGGGTCTCACTGAGTTGCTTAGCACCTCACTATTGCTGAGGCTGGCTTTGAACCCATGATCCTCCTGCCTCAGCCTCCTGAGCGGCTGGAATTACAGGCGTGTGCCACTACATCTGGCCTCAGTTTCTTACTCTGTAAAATAAGGGGAACAGGAACTCCCAGGGCTGCAGGGGTGCGTGTGAGCCAGGATCCGGGAAGGGTCGCTAGGGCTCTGCGGGCAGTGAGATGTGGCTCTGGACTAGGAAGCCAGGCAGCGGTAGCATTTTATTTTTTAATTTTTTTTTTAAATGGAAGGGAAATTCACATAACACGAAATTAACTGTTGGGAAAATTGTACAGTTCAGTGATATTTAGTGCTTTCATAATGAGCAAACACCAACTCCCTTGTTTCACAATTTGAGTTTTTCTTCTAAGCGAGGACAAATGGCATTTGGGTGGAGAAAGTGGCCCCACTTGGACCCTGACCTTGGAGGAGTTGCTTCTCTTCTCTGAGCCCCAGGTTTTGCGACCATAAATAAGAAGAATAACAATAGCAGCTGACATTACACGGCACTTGGTGCCAGATGATGTTCAAAGCATTTTACTGAATAGGAGCTCGTTTAATCTCGGCATCAGCCCTGGGGGGGCAGCTGTTACTACAGTATCCACTCCGCACAGCCTGGGGAAATTAAGAAAATTACCCCAAATCACAGAACCAGTGGTCCTGAGAGCCAGGATCTGCCTCCCTGCTCTCCCGTGGTGACCTCTGGCGGATTCTCCCCATGGAGACGGTGTCCACTCCTGCCCACGGTCTGTACTTTACGGCTCCCTTTACTTTACCAGAATGTTGCTAAATGAAACCTAAATTAATTAAAATACAATGAAATAAAAAATGCAGTTCCTTCGTCTCCCTGGTCACATTTCAAGTGCTCAGTAGCCACACGTGTGACCGGTGGTTCCTGCATTGCAAGCACAGACGCCGAGCTGCTGTGGGCCCTGTCGGCCTAGCGCTGTTGGATGTCATGTATGACCCCACCTGATGGACACAGAGGTGGTTTGCAGTTTGTGGAGGATGACAGGCAGGACGGTGGAGAAAGGGAACGTGGTGTGTGTGTGTGTGTGTGTGTGTGTGTGTGTGTGTTTTCATGCATGCGTGTCGGGGACCCTTGTGTGACTACTCAGAAGGAGGCATTTAGATGTGAGTTGTTGGGCTCTGGAGCTGGTCTGAGTTTCTGTCCCAGCTCGGCTCTGTCCCCATTTGCATGCCTGTGTGACCTTGGGTTGTCAATCATCCCCTCTCCACAAAAGGCCTGGGTGAGGATTGGGTGAGTTGCTTTTCCAGAGGGGGTTAGGCACCTGTGGTGCCCGCTGCTCATGCAGTTAGCTTGGCTGTTTTCTCTGCCGTATCTGTGTTAGGTTTTGACAGCTATTGGTCTTGGCTCTTAAGGTGTCAAGTAAGATAATTATGGTGAGCAGCTTGGCAGGAGGTCTTCAGTCACCAGGGGGCGGCCGGGGAACCTCCATCAGGAGGCCAGGCTGGAGGGAAGGAAACCCCACCTCAGGGATTCTTTGAGAGGCCACTGAGCTCTGGTCCTGTCACTGTCCCCTAGACCTCTGCAGCCAGTAAACTGGAGGTGGCCACTGTTCGATTCTGTGGCAGGGTGTGAGCAACTGGTGGTCGTGGGTGTTGGTATGAGAGTCTGGAGACACTGGCCACACATGGCCAGGGGCAGCTGCCATCCTCACTCCAGCTCAGGGAGGCTAGGTAGAATGGCCCAGGGTGGCAGGTGGCCTTCAGGGTTTGTGGAGTCCCTCTGTGTGTCAGGGGCTGCCCTGACCTTCTGTCCACATCCTAATGTGTGTYTGGGCTCTGGCTCTGGGGGCATTAGAAATAATGCTCAGCCTGTTGGCCCAAAGGGGATGTCCCTGGGGCGGGGGCTGGCCCTGGGCACAGGACGTGTGGGAAGCAGAATGTCCCACTGTCAATTAGGGAGCCGCTTGGTGGGAAGAGATGGGCATGTGACCATGGTCAGATGACACAGATGGGTCTGCTTGGACCATGTGGCTGCCGGAGGTCTTCTTGAGGCCCAGGGAAGGCTGAGGGAGGCCAAGGGAGGCTGAGGGAGGCCAAGGGAGGGCCGAGGGGCTGGGGCGGGTACCTGGGGTGTGCAAAGCCGGAAGCCTGCCTGATTGACATCCAACTGTGGTGTTGGGCACCTGCTTGTGCCAGCAGTCCCTGTCCTCACCCCGCTCCAGCCGCAGCAAGCCGGGCGGTAGGCCCACCTTAGAGCTGCCCAGCCCTGGGTTTCCCCAGCTGCCCCCGCCCAGCCCCTAGGGAGGGAGTTGGGGCACCGTTGAGGCCGTGTGGCAGGCAGGAGCCGTTGGTGGCATCCGGGCCCAGTGCCTCTCCAGCCCGGGGCGCTGCTGGGCAGGTTTCACAAGCCCAGGCAGGGGCAGGCCTGGCCGCTGGGCTTCCGCGAGCCGGGGCAGGAAGAGCTGGCGGCTGATGTAAGCCCTTGCGCAAACCTCTGGCTGCTGGCTTCCGGAGCCTTCCACCACCCGCTTGTCACGCCAAGGAGGAAGCCTGGGGCTCGGCTGGGCCACATGGATGGACTGAGTGGCCACCATGGCTCTGGGGCCCGAGGGTGTGGCGCTGGAGTCTGGTGAGGGGCCGGGTTGGGGTGTGGGGGGCTGGACACAGGCTGCGGGGATGGGCCTGTGGCTCAGGGCCGCCCCCGTGGCTCTGCTGCCKCTCCCTCCACTCTGGGGGACCCCAGCGGGGCCTGTGGCCCTCATGACCTGTTTCTTTACATGTACCCGAAGGAGCTGGGGTGGACCCTGGGATCTGTGCCACTGGGAGGTGGCAGTTTGCACTGGTCTGCAGATCCTGCAGGGGGCTGTGGCAGGACCCAGGCCCCCTGGGCACCTGAGCCAGTCATACTCTGCCTGCAAAGTCACTAACTCTTCTGTGCTGCCCGCCAACAGTGCCCAACTCCCAGGGACACAGGAGGGTTCCTTGTCCCAGGTTCGCAGGCCTCCCTTTCACCTGTGACCTGGAGTCCTGCCAGGTCCTTCCCGTGGAGGGCAGGATGCTTGGACTTGGGGCAGAGCCACTGGGTGGCAGCAAAGAGGCCTCCTGTCTGGGCCTGGCAGTTGGGGCACGGCATGGCTGGGCTCCGTTTCCCTCCAGGCAGCCGCAGTTCCCCTGGCAGGGGCCCTGGGACTGCACAGTCCTGTTTTCCAGAGGGACGGCCCCCAGCAGGACTCCCTTCCACCTGTCTGAGCTGCCGTGTTCGCCGTCCCCATTTGTCCCGATTCATGCCCTGTTCCCCTGTGGCCCGGTGGTGCCAGCGCGGGCTCTGGGATGCCCACTGGTGTGCACGACTAGCTCCCTGGCTGTGTGACCAGGCTCCTCCCGTCTCTGAGCCTTGGTCACTCGTGGGCGGCTGAGCACCTGGAGGGCCCTGGGCACGTCCAGGGCTGCTGTGGGGTCCTCAGGATAGTCGTTCTTCTGGAGGGTGCCCTCCCTGATTCAGGAGCTCCACTGAGCTCAGAATGGGGATCCAAGCCCCCCACTTCCTTGCTCTGTGGCTTTGGGGGGGGGGTCTCTGTTCCTCTCAGGCTTCCATCTGCAAATGGGGAGAACGGTGCCCCTCAGACCAGGCTGGGTCTGCAGCAGGGAGCTCCTGGTGCCCTGGTGGGGTGTGCTGGGGGGCTCTGTCCTGGGTTCCTTCCTGGGGCCTGCAGCTTCTCTCCAGCCCCGGGTCTGGTTGAGCTGCCCTGGGTCCACTCRGGGGCCAGGGTGGGGTGGGGAGGCCTCTGTGGCTTCCTGGCCAGTGCTCCGCTGAGCTCGGTGGGGGAAAGCTGGAGTCTTGGGGCGGTGGGTGGGGGTGGCAGCTGCCTGGCTGGCTGCTTGAAAGCCYCCCTTCTCTCTGCAGGCGAGGCCTTCTTGGGCAGCTTTGTGGCCAGCGGGATGGGGCCCTCGGCCTCATCCCAAGGGAGCCCGGTGCCCCTGCCCTCTGACCTCTCCTTCCGCTCCCCTACCCCCAGCAACCTGCCCATGGTGCAGCTGTGGGCCGCCCACGCCCATGAAGGTAAGGAGCGTGCCAGGCGGGCGGGGCTGAGGGCTGCTGGGCTGCTGTCCCCACCATTCTGGCAATTTTATGTCCCTAGCACTTTTCAAGTTTGCCCCCACCCCTCCACCTCCACCTCCACCCTCCTTATCATGGCCAGTGAGCCCAGCCCTGGCCATCTGACCTCCCTGTTGTTCCTCAAATGCCAGGTGCTTCCTCTAGTTGCTGTCACAGGGCCTTTGCACAAGCTGTTCCTTCTGCTTGCAGCCCCTCACCCCTGCCCCCTGGACGTCTCCTGCCTGTGTCCTTCAGGGCCTGGCTCGGATACCTCCTTTCTTCAGTGTTCCCATGGTAACGGCAGATTTACCTGTGTGATTATTCCCTAACCATCGGCTGACTTGGCCGTCAGAGTGAGCTCTGTAGGCGGGGCCTGGTACATTCTGCTTGTGCCTGGTGCACAATAGGCTGGTGACTAACGTGGGAGCCTGGGACTGGGTCCACCAGCCTCTTTGGTTGCAGCTCTGCAGGGGTGCTTGTTGTGGGGTCTGYGGGCCTGGCTCGAGGCCCACCCTGAACAAACTCTGGACCTCCTGGAGGCTTCCTCCTTCCATCGGTGAAGGCAGGGGCCTCCCCACCCCTGGCTCTGGTGGGTTTTGGATGCTGACACTCTGACCTGCCTCCATCCTCCTGGGGAGCCTGTGCACTCCCCCCAGATCCTAGAAGCCTGAAGCTCTGGGAGTCCACCCTCATGTTGAGGGCTCTCTGGGCCTTTCCCCGCTCCCTGTCTCCCCACTTCCTCCTGGGGTCTCACATCTGGGTTATGAGCACTCACCAGGATCTTGCATCCCCCGGGGTGGGGCTGCAGGAGGCGACATGTTCCTCAGGAGGCAACAGCTGCAGCCAGAGGTATCCCCAACCCCAGGGCTCCTGCCAAGCCTTAAACCACACGGTCCTCACTGTCCTGGGGAGGCCACTGAGGCCCCTCCTGCCAGGCCCCTCTGGGTAGGCCTCTGTATCTGGGAACAGGATTGTGTGCTCTGCACGGAGGGGGCCATCCTGCCTCAGCTGGGTGTTCGCTGTGGGCCTGGGATGCCGGGTGGCTCTGCTGGCCAGCTTGATCCTCAGACCTCCTGAGATTTTTTTCTCTTCTGTCAACAAGTCTTGGTGAATAGTAACACTAAGGATGGCAAACACATGCCATGCTTTCCGGGTCCCTGGTACTGCCTGCTCAGGGTCACTTTGTCCTCAGCTGTAGTTTTGGGGTGGGGGCTGTTTTGCCCATTTTACAGACAAGAGGCCAGAGGGATCTGACCCTGCCCCAGAGCACTGATAACGGGATAATGTGCATCAGGGACTCCTTTGTTTTGTGATTGTTGTTAATGTCGTCATGAGATGATGCCAGGGGAAGAGCCATCAGCCCGTGGGCTAGTGACAGGTCCTGCCTCCCTGGCCTCAKAGGTAGCAACTAGGACATAGCGTATCTGGGTTCCTTAGGGACCTCCAGTAGGACCCCAGGCTCAGGCAGAACGTCAGGACCTTTGCCCAGTGCCACTGTTGGCCCGCCTGGCCTCCTTGCACCCTGCCAGGTGGCCTCTTGTCCTCATTCCTCTTGGGCTTCTTGATTCTCTTGTCTGTGGCTGCCCTTTCCTCTCTTTGTCCTGTGAGGCCCTGAGTCTGGGCATTGATGGTGGGGAGTCCTTTTGAAAGCCTGGGGGGACCCTTGAAGGATGGGAGATCTGGCAGCCAGAGATCCTGGGTCCAATAAGGTTCCAAAAAGGTGAGTGACCAGCCCTGGGGCACATAGCAGAGAAGGGGTCCATTAAAACTGCTCCTCTGGGGTCCACGTTAGTCTGAGGGGTCTAATGACCTCAGTTCAAAGCCAGACTCCTCTGCTGTGTGACCGTGGGCAAGTGCCCCTCTCCAAGTCCTTTTTTCCTGTCTGTAAATGAGATATTAAATGAGGTGTTTTTTTGCTGGGTGCGGTGGCGCACACCTGTGATCTCAGCGGCTTGGGAGGCTGAGGCAGGATCACGAGTTCAAAGCCAGCCTCAGCAACGTCGAGGCGCTAAGCAACTCAGGGAGACCCTGCCTCTAAATAAAATACAAAATAGTGCTGGGGGTGTGGCTCAGTGGTTGAGAGCCCCTGAGTTCAGTCCCTGGTACCAGATTTTGAGGTTTCAAGCGTAAAAACAGCAGCAGGGCAGGCTATGCTTTTGTGGCCGACAGCGTCCCCTCCTGGGAGGATCCATTCTGACCCTCTTCCTGGGGGTTTGAGGAGCCAAGCCCCTGCGGGCTGCCTGGGACTGGAGGGAGGCCTACAGTGGCATGGCTGGGAGGGGGACAAGTGTCTCTCTGGAAGCTGGCGTTAAACCTCGGATTCCCTGCACCAGGGGGCTGATGGCCAAAATGGTTTGTTTCCAAGAAAACGCTGAGAGGAAGCTCCTGTGAGAGGCATAAGTGATGCAGCCCTTTTTATTTTCTCTTGCAGGCTTCTCCCACCTGCCCAGCGGGCTGTACCCATCCTACCTCCACCTGACCCACCTGGAACCCCCCAGTAGCGGGAGTCCCCTCCTCAGCCAGCTGGGCCAGCCCASCATCTTTGATACCCAGAAAGGTCAGGGAATAGAAGTGGGTGGGACTGTGGGGGCTGGGGAGGGTGGACTTTCTCAGGGGCTTTTCTGGGGCCCTCACTAGAACCCTGGCCAGCTTCCCAGCTGTTTCCTTTTTTCATGGCTCTTGGGACCCCAGGACCTTGTGCATTCTAGCAAAGTGCTCAACTTCTGAGTGATGCCTGCTGAAGAGGCCTTTTTGGGATCTCAGCCCCTAAGGACTCCTGCAGGTGTACTGGGTTGCCCACAGTCTTCTGGCATCTTCCAGATGTGGTCTCCCTAACCATGTTGCCCTCTGGGCAGCTAAAATGACCTTTGGCATCTCTCCATTTTACAGCGGAGGATACTGAGTCTCAGGAAGGTTAGATGGCCAGCTGGAGATTTCAGCTTGGTTTCAGGAGCCTACCCTCCCATCGACTGTCCCAGCATGCTCCTGCTCATCCTGGGGACACAGGGCCCTGTCCCCAGTACATGGCATCCTGGTGGAGGGTGGGCAGTGGGCCCCGCTCATTCTGTGCTCCTCTCTGCAGATGGCTTCTACCTGCCCACGCCAGGACCCCCAGGCGCCCTGCATTCTCATGCGCCCTCCTCCAGGACTCCTAGTGGTCACTCCTCAGGCACCCCGGCCAAGTCGTCCCGGGAAGGTGCAGCCAAGGAGCGCCGCGGCGGGGAGCCGCCCCCATTGTTCGGCAAGAAGGACCCACGGGCACGCGAGGAGGCAGCTGGGCCACGTGGTGTGGTGGACCTGACCCAGGAGGCGCGGGCTGAGGGCCGCCAGGACCGTGGACCCCCGCGCCTAGCTGAGCGCCTATCGCCCTTCCTGGCCGAGGCCAAGGGCAAGAGCGCCCTGCAGCCCTCGGCCCTGGGCATGTGCAACGGCGTGGCGGACACCGGGCTGCCTGCGCTGGTGGTGGAGGCCGGCCGCAGTGGCACCAAGGAGGTGGCCCGGCCGGATGAGAGCTCGCGACTGCTGCGGCGCGCGGAGGCCCTGCTGCCTGCGCCGCGCCCCTGCCCCTCGCCGCTGCCCCCACCGCCACCCAAGGGGCCGCCGGCGCCCCCAGCCCCTGCGCCCACCGGTGTCTACACCGTGTTCCGTGAGCCGGGCCGTGAGCACCGCGTGGTGGCGCCCACCTTCGTGCCTTCCGTGGAGGCCTTCGACGAGCGCGCGGGGCCCATCCAGATTGCATCGCAGGCGCGCGACGCCCGGGGCCGAGAGCGTGAGGTGGGCAGGCCTGGGGTGCTGCAGGGGCCGGGCTCCCCGCGGCCGGAGCGGCCCGAGGTCCTGCGCGAGAAGAGCTCCGTCATCCGCTCGCTCAAGCGCCCCACKCCCGCCGACGCCCTTCCGGCCCGCGCCTTGCGCGCCTCCCCGGACTCACGCACCTACCTGCCGGCCAAGGAGCTGCCCAAGCCCGAAGTGGAGCCAAGACCCTGCGAGCGCACGCCCCGCGGCCCTGCAGCCGCCCAGCAGGCCGCCAAGCTCTTTGGCCTGGAAYCTGCGAGGCCTCCTGCGCCCACCGGCCCCGAGCACAAGTGGAAGCCTTTTGAGCTGGGCAACTTTGCCACTACGCAGATGGCCGTGCTGGCCGCCCAACACCACCATGCCAGCCGTGCCGAGGAGGAGGCCGCCGCCGCCTCCAAGAAAGCCTACCTGGACCCCGGGGGTGCCCTGCCCCGGGCCTCGGCCACCATTGGCCGGCCTGGGGCCGACCTGCATCCCTCAGCCCACGCCCCCGGAGAGGCCTCCGCCATGCAGAGCCTCATCAAGTACAGTGGCAGCTTTGCCCGGGAGGCGGTGGCCGTGCGCCCAGGTGGCTGTGGCAAGAAGAGCCCTTTTGGAGGCCTGGGCACCATGAAGCCGGAGCCCGCCCTCACAACCACGGCTGCCTCCCGCTCCCAGGCCCGGCTCCCCCATCCTGGTGGCCCAGCAGCGGGCGGGACCCGGCAACTGAAGCGGGACCCAGAGAGACCCGAGAGTGCCAAAGCCTTTGGSCGGGAGGGCTCTGGTGCCCAGGGGGAGGCTGAAGTGCGACACCCACCAGTGGGCATTGCTGTGGCTGTAGCTCGACAGAAGGACAGTGGCGGCAGTGGCCGACTGGGACCTGGGCTGGTGGACCAGGAGCGCTCCTTGTCTCTGAGCAACGTCAAAGGTAGGTCTTGGGCCCCACCCTGGCCCCTTCTCACTCCACGCTGTACCCCTGGTTGGGGGTTGGCCTCCTGAACCTCTCTTTTTGCACCCTCAAGTGCCTGCCTTCCCCGAACTGTTTGCTGTTTGTCCCACTTGTGTGCTTGGGCACTTTTGAAACTTTTAATGTTTTTATTTTGCACATGGAATGGTGTATAAGGTGCAGAAAAGGGGAAACAAGAAAAAGGACCAGTATATTTTTCCCAGCGCCTTGAACACTTTCATCTCTTTTCCCAAAATCATTTTCCTGTGCAGTTTGCTTCGGCCTGCAGAGCTCCTCGTGCACACATGATCTTGGGTCTGTGCGTTGTTCCCATATTACTAAGCTGGGTTGTTTCCCCTGCTATTGCAAACTCTATAAAGTATCATTTTTTATGGCCTTTAATATTCTGTGGAGAGCACGCACCAGCAGGTAGCGCAGTTCAGGTCTCCATTCCCTGGTGGGCATTTTAGTTTTTCCCTGCTCTGATGTTTTGTGTTCAGAAMGGTTGCATGGAATATTTTTGTGCATTGCACCTTGGTGCTATTTTGAGTCATTTTTCTAAGAATAGAGGTTCCTAAGAATAGACTAGCCTTAGGCTTTGGATTCTAAGTCCTTGAGGGAGATAACTCGGCCTTATGTATTTCAACATCCCCCAGCATGGGCCTGGTGCATAGTAGGTATTTGATAAATCAGTGAATGAGGGAATGTGTGTGAGGGATAGAAACTAGTGTCCTAAAGTTCATTTGGATCTTGACTTTTACTACCTCAGGTATTGTTCCCTCCCTGCCAGTAGTGGGGATTGAACCTGGGGTGCTCCCTCACTGAGCTGCATCCCTAGCCCTTTTTTTTTTTTAAATATTTATTTTTAGGTGTAGATGGACACAACACAATGCCTTTATTTTTATGTGGTTCTGCCTGTGCTAGGTGAGCACTCTACTGCGGAGCCACAATCCCAGCCCCATCCCTAACCCTTTCTAAGTTGTCTAGGCTGACCTTGAACTTGTGTTGTTCTTGCCTCAGCCTGGGTAGTTAGATTTTAAGTGCCCATTGGTCCATTGGTAGTATATGAGGGTTTTTTTAATATTTATTTTTTAGTTATAGGCGGACACAATATCTTTATTTATTTGTAGTGTTGGGGATTGAACMCAGGGCCTTATGCATGCGAGGCAAGCACTGTACCAGCTGAGCTGTATCCCCAGTCTCTTTATTTTTATGTGGTGCTGAGGATCAAATCCATTGCCTCACACATGCAAGGCAAACGATTTTCCTCTGAGCCACAATCCCAGCCCCATGTTTTTTTTTTTTTAACCTATGGTGCTGGGGATCCAACCTAGGGGCCTTGCACATTCTAGGCCAATAACCACCACTGAGCTACCCTCCCAGCCCCATCTATTTTACTAGGTGTGGCTCAGTGGTAGAGCACTTGCCTAGCATGTGTGAGGCACTGGGTTTGATTCTCAGAACTGCATATAAATAAGTGAATAAAATAAAGATTTCATCAACATCTAAAAAAATATTTGAGTGTCATGGAGGCAAAGTAAGGATTTCTAATAGAAATCTAACTATGTATGAAGTATATGAGTACATTAAAAAAAATAAAAAAGAAACAGGAGCTGGGGTTGTGGCTCAGTGGTAGAGTGCTTGCCCATCATGTTTGAGGCATTGGATTCGATCCTCAGCACCACGTAAATATTAGTAAGTAAAACAACGGTATTTTGTCCATTACAACTAAAAATAAATAAATAAAATAAAATAACAACAACAACCAAAAAACCCAGTTACTTAATTCATTAGTGAAAAAAGGTACATGTCTTTTAGCAAGTTCAAGTGTTTTCTGGAATCTGGTTGTTGGGTTTCCTTGTGTCTCTTGCATATTTTGCTGTTGGGTTTCTTCCTGGGATTTTGGAGATCTGATGTTTGTTGAAACTCTGGACTTGTTCTGCCCAGAACAGAGCCTGTTGTTGAGCAGAGGGCCCTGCCTGTGACCCAGGGACTGAGACCACATGAGTGGGCCATGTTGTGTGGTGTGCAGGCTGGGCCAAGGCTGGGAAGGCCAGGTCCAGCTGTTGCTTGCTCATGTGAYTTCTCAAGTCAGCCTCTGTTCCCAGCCCTAGCCCCAGCTGGATGCCCATCCTCATCCCTGACCCATAGTCAGGGCCCTGTCTGGGGCACCTGCAGAACCCCTTCCTGCAGCACCAGATGTGACTGCAGATGTACTTTGTAGTACATCTGCATCTCGGGTCCCTACCCTTCTGTTGTGGACTTAACTTGGGTCCTAGATTCGCTGTCTCAGCCAAACCCTGTCCAAATGCTGTGGCCGTATGGGTGACCTAACTGTCCCTCTGGGCCCTGGGGAGGGGTCCAGGGCCTGGGTTTCTCCAGCTGCATCTCCCAGGAGTGCTGTTTTCACACCAACCTAATGCCCAGTGGGTCCCCCTGAGTCTCGAGCTGTACCTTCCACAAGCCATGCTCCTGCTCCTGTGTGGGGATGTTCCCTTACCCTCGGGGTGCCAGGTGTCACTCCCCTGGAGCACCTTTGACGGTGCGACTCCATCTGCTCTCTGCTCTCCTGTGTCCCAGGACAGCCTTGGTCTAGAAGTGGGTTCTGTGTGCTCCTGGAATTTCCTTTCTCCAGCAGAGATGGCTGAGAGGGCTGCCTTCTGAGTGACTTCATGACTGACTGAATGAGCTGATGCTGGAGGTGGAGATCCCTGGAGCCAGGGAAACCCCACGCTCGTGACTTTGGGGGTATCTGTGGTAGTACCTGCCTTATTTGGGGATTGAAGCTATGAGCAAAAGCCTTCTTATTGCACATGGAGAGCTGGGTGGTGGACAAGCCTCTGCTCAGAGGGTTTAGGGCTGTGGACCCTCCCGCCCCCCGCCCAGAGGCAGCCGAGCATTTGGGTCCTGTGATGCAGTGTGGTACCTCTGTTGGCTCATGGTCTTCAGAGCCCATTCTCGGAGTCCAGGGCACCAGCCTGTAACCGGGAGGCCTGTGCCCGTGGGGTCATGAGCATGTGTATTCAAGAGAAGAGTATGAGAGAGAGGAATGGTGTGGCCAGGGTTTGAGATGGTACTCTGGGGATTTGCCTGTTTCTTTTGGTGCTGATGGCTGAAAAGTAGGTGGCTGGATTCTTTCTGTCCCTAAAAAGTCCTGTAAGCAGGGGTGCTCTCCCTCCAGTTAGCCTGGCCATGGGTGCTGAGAGGCCTTGCAGGGAGGCTGGGCCCAGGGCACCCATGCACCCGGGTGGGCCTGGGCTGTCCCCCAGAGCCTGTTGCCAGCTGGCTTCCGGGCACCTCGGCCCTGGCCACTCTGCGTCTTTACTTTTGGGAAGGAGCTTTCTGCTTCTCTAGTGGATTCAAATCTTGGCACTTACCCCTTGCAGTTCTGTGGCCTTGGATAAGAGGCTGACCCTCTGGGGCCCCCCCAGGTCATCTCTGTTCCTGGGCGCCAAGTGTGTGCTGAAGGGCACACAGTAGGCGCTTCATAAGTAGCCTTCCTTTACTCAGACATGTGTTGGGGTCTTGGGTCATCTGACTGTGCATGCAAGTCTGAGCTCCTCCTGGARGACACTGGGGCCTCATAGGATCTGGGCTTCCTTCCAGGGCTCTCGAACCCTGAGATGGACTAAGAAGGCCACTGCCTAATTCTCAGCCCAGTGCGGCCAGTTCCCACGATGCCCGAGAGGCCCAGCAAGTAAGAACCTTTGCTGCTGTTTAACAGGCCACTTTCACGTGCCAGCCACCCCATGAGGACCCTGTTGTCACCTACTGCCTTGCCAGGAGGAACTGTCACTGTCCTGTGCACAGATGGGCGGGCAGAGGCCTGCGGGGATGAGGTGGGACCTGCCTCTCCACCTCTGCGTTTGYTGTCATCTCCTTGGTGGAGGCAGGGTGGCCAGGCCTGGGTGTGAGGGCCGTGAGACTGTGCCACCCTGCTGTCACACTGTGCAGAGCTGAGGTTGCAGCAGGTCTGAGTAGTGCTGGAGACCAGTTGGTGAGACGCTCAGATGGTGTCCAGGTGGGGGTTGCCCTGGGAGCTGGTCTCCCCCTGAGCCCTGGGCATGTAATGACCAAGGTATGGTGCACGTGACATGGGAACGTGTGTTGACTGCCAGTGGTGGCCTTTGCCAAGGGATACCCCGTCCCTGTCAGCCCTGGRGTGGGACTGGGCTGCCAGAGAGGCCTGCAGCCAGCAGTTGCTGTGACAYGACTACCAAGGGCCCTTGTCACCCGTGCTCACCCTGGGCTGGCTCCATGTGTGGTGGACAAGACCCCCTGAGACCCTCATCCCAGTTGATGTTAGTTGTGGGACCTGGGCAGGTTTTATTGTCTCCCTGTTCCTCAGTTTCCTCATCTGGAAGGTAGGGGAGAGGATTGGGACCTGCCTTCTGGGTTGGTGACACTGGAACGTGCCTGGAGTTCCCAGGAGGCAGCTTGTAAATGCCCTCTGTTGGGCATCATGCAGGGGAGGGAGGGGATCTGGGCTTCCTTCCAGGGCTCTCAAACCCTGAGATGGACTAAGAAGGCCAGAGCGGAGCCTGGGTCTGGCGGAGCAGAAGACAGTGAATGGCAGCGTTGGCTGCTGGAGGGAGACAGCAGGGGAGCCGGAAGGAGGAGCGGTTCAGGGGAGGCTTCCTGGAGGAGGTGACCGAGGTTGAGTCGTCCAGGGAAAAGGTGCTCCAGGTGGAGGGAGCCGMATGTGTGTGGCCCCGAGGTAGGGAAGGGATGCAGAGAGGCTGTGGGCACGTGGGCCAGGGCAGGGGCTTGGTTCTTTGAGGGGTGACGGAGAGGAGCTGGTTTAGAGGCCACGGGGAGCCATAGACTGATGAGGTTGGAGCTGGAGGCCAGTTGAACTCAGCCTGTTTCTTTGGGAGACCAAACAGTTTGAGGGGAGTGGCCTGAAGCTGCGTCCTAGGGGCCCTCAGGTTGGGGTGTGCTCCAAGGCGGGGCTGGCAGACAGGTTTCTGATGGCAGATGGCACTTGGGATGGGAAACCCCTGAGACCATGGGCCGTTAAGCTGGGCAGTGGAGAAGGCCAGGGAGGGCAGAGGCCCCAAGGCAGAGCCCAGGCTACACTCCAGGTGCCTGCCCTTCTGGGGACACAGGAACACTGTGCCCACAGCCCGTCCCAGACTCCAGAGACCAGCGGACATGAGGGCAGCCTCCTCAGGTGGCCGAGCCCCTGCCACATGCCCTGATTTCTTGGCTCAGCTGTGGACGCTGGGACGGTTCTTCCCAGGCCTGTCACTGCCTGTCTGGGCCACGGCTGCCCCGTGGAGTCTACAGGCAAAGACCCTCTGGTCCTGCCATTCTTCCACTTGGTCATCCTGCTTGAGGGGGTTAGGTGGGCTCAGAACCTGCTTTGGTGTGGGAACTGCGTGCCCTGCAGGCAAGGGTACCCAGGCTGGGCCTCACACCCCAGCTGCCCATGGTGCTGCCCTTCCACTTCCACAGTCCCTTTCTGCTTCCTGCCTGTCAGTGACTTTGCACTGAGTGAAATCTGCTTAGCGCCTCTGCTGACTGTGGCCTGTGCAGAAGCGATTCAGTGGGAGGCCAGGGATGCCTCTTGCCCTGGACATGCCTCCTGGGGCTTCTCACAGGGTGGGCAGGGAGGCAGGCAGGTTGGGGACAGACGGGCTCCCTGGCCTGCCCTACCCATCCCCATCTATGGGACACCCATTTGCTGTTTAAAAATGCAGTGGCACAGTGCAATCTGAGCGACTGGGGTGGGGTAGGGGTGGGGCAAGGTTTAAAGCAGAAGGATTGCAAGTTCAAGGCCAGACTCAGCAACTTAGTGAGATCCTGCCTCAAAATAAAAAAGGGCTGGGATGAAGCTCAGTGGTAAAATGCCCCTGGGTTCAAAAAACAGAAAGCACAGTGGTTCCCTGCTGGGCCCACCTCCAGAGCTGGGCAGCCTCTGAGGCTCATGCCAGGGGAGCCCACCAGCCCTTCCCCAGCTGCCTCTGAAGATGGGTCCCCTCCCCACCTGAGGCCATCTGGCTCTCTAGAAAGCTGGATCCTCAAGCATCTGGCTCTCGTGACTGTGCTGCCCTCTCTCCAGGCTCCTCCTCTGCTCTGGGACTGGTGGTCCCCCCCTTCCTGGAATGAAGGGGAGGGTTTGACATCCCTGTCTCCTGAGGGCTCTGCTCTTTGGGGGTACAGAAAGAGGGAGGTGAGGGGGATGCCTGATGGCGGTGTCCCAAGTGGGRCTGTTACACATGAGAGTCCTGAGCGCAGCTGCTGTAGACCCTGGTGACAGTGCCTCGGTGGAGTCCCCCTCTCCGCCACAACCCTGAGGCCTTTGCCCGAGGGGCTGGGCCCCCAAATCGGCTGCCGATGCTCCCGGCTGGGTCCTTGGGACCAGGGCTGATGGGTGTCCAGGTTGAACATGGTTTCTGGTTACGTGTCGGATTTTACGATGTTTCATTATGGTCTCCATGGCTGTTGGTTTAATTCTGGTCACAGTTGTCTGTGTGCGTCCAGGACAGGCTCTCGCAGGGTGGAAGGGGATGGAGGGGAAGTTGCCAGGCACAGAGGACCCAGAGCCGGGCTGGAGGGAACCCGGTGAGTCGTAAGGAATGGCATTCTGGGGAGAAGGAGCCACACAGATGGTCCTGGGGCGTCATTGGGGGATCAGGGGACAGGAAGGGCAAGACAGGTGGGAAGAGAGGCCCATGGGGCAGGGAAGAGCCTGAGTGCTTGGTGCTGGGGGGTCTCACTGCTGCCTGGACCTCCCCAGGGCACGGCCGGGCCGATGATGACTGTGCGGATGACCGAGCTCGGCACCGAGAAGAGCGGCTGCTGGGGGGACGGCTGGACCGGGACCAGGAGAAGCTGCTTCGGTGAGGACTTGAGGGGACTGGGCCTGGGAGTGAGGGCGACTGGGTGACCCAGGTGGGCTTGGCCCCTTGACTACCGGACACTGTGGTGGTCCTCAGAACTGGAGCTGGCCTGGTGCAGGACCCACGTTGGGCCCCCTTCCAAGCCTGAGCAAGGCTACCTCGCATGCTCCCCTTCTCTGCCTCGTGTCACCGGGCTGCCTGGACTGTCCCCAATGTGTGTTCCCCYTTCCAGAGAAAGTAAGGAGCTGGCTGACCTGGCCCGCCTGCACCCCACCAGCTGTGCTCCCAATGGCCTGAACCCCAACCTCATGGTTACTGGGGGCCCTGCGCTGGCTGGCTCTGGGCGCTGGTCCGCTGACCCTGCTGCCCACCTGGCCACACACCCCTGGCTGCCCCGCTCGGGCAGCACGTCCATGTGGCTCACCGGACACCCCTATGGTGAGTGAGGGGCAGGGGTACTTCTTTCCTTGCCTGGGGAAGGGCAGRTGGTGGGCAGGTGGCAGCTGGATACAGGGCAGGTGCTCTGCGCTGGCCCCTGCCTTCCCTTGGTAGGGGCCTGGGCCAGGCTTCCTCCCCTCCCTCAAGGGGATATAAAGGCCGCTGCCCTGCCCTGAGGGGTTCATCTGCCTGCCCACTGGGGAAGGTGCCCAGGGGGGGTAGCTCTGTGGGCCTGTTTGCTTTGGGCTGCTCTTCCGTCCCTTGGCTCCCTCTTCGAGATCTCAAGAGACTTGGAGACTAGGGACCTGGCCAGGGTAGGGGCTGGACTGTTCCCTGGGGACGGGGTGGCCGAGGGCGGCCTTCGGATGAATTAGTCGTAGCCTCCCGGCACTTACATGGGCCTGGGTCTCTCCTTCTAGGCTTGGGCCCCCCTTCTCTGCACCAGGGCATGGCTCCTGCCTTCCCACCCAGCCTCGGGGGTTCTCTGCCGTCCGCCTACCAGTTTGTCAGGGACCCCCAGTCAGGCCAGCTGGTGGTCATCCCTAGTGATCACCTGCCTCACTTTGGTAAGTGATCCCTGTTTGGTGGGAGGGGCTTTGGCTAGCCTTGCCCAACTGTCCCTTATGCCAAGGGTTGTGGCTGGGTGGCCCTGCACAACAGGGCGGGGAGCAGACAGGCCCAGAGACAACGCGGCAGCCTCAGTGGAGTTCATATTTCAAAGCCTTAAGGTTTTTGTTTTAATGGCTGCAGACCCAGAGACCCACAAGTAGACCCCCCATCTCAGCACCCCATACCTTTGGGGATCCAGTTTGCAGGCTACTGGGCAGAGTCTCCATGGTGGCCCTGGTATAACTCTGCAGGTTTGAGGCCCTGTGAGGCCAGGGGACATCCTACCTGCAAGTATGGACAGGGCCTCTCTCCCTGGGTCTGTAGTGTGGCTTTCTTGCTCCCAGAAGTGACCAGGGGCCACAGCTCTGCTCATCATGGCYGCTGTGTCCCCCTCTGGGAAACAGGGCATGGCATCCCGGGCACCGTGGGGAGTCAGGCCGCCGATGCAGCCCTCCATGGTCTGTTTCCTGCAGCGGAGTTGATGGAGCGGGCCGCCGTGCCGCCGCTCTGGCCCACCCTGTACCCACCGGGACGCAGCCCCCTGCACCACGCCCAGCAGCTGCAGCTCTTCTCCCAGCAGCACTTCCTGCGGCAGCAAGAGCTCCTGTACCTGCAGCAGCAGGCGGCCCAGGCCCTGGAGCTGCAGAGGAGCGCCCAGCTGGTGGTGAGTCCAGGGCYGCCTGGGGGGGAGGAGGACAGACCAGAGACGTCAGTGAGGACTTCCTGCAAGAGGTGGCCTCTGAACAGGGAGGGGCAGCAGCCCTGGTGTGGCCCCCCCAGGGAGAGTGAATAGCAGGCCCAGAAGTGGACAGAGCCTGGTGGAGTGCACAGGAAGCAGTGGGGAAGCCACTGGGTGGTCACTGCCTGTCTGGTGGCTCTGGGCTCCTGTTTGGGGGTCAGAGCAGGCTGCTGCTGGAGTTCCTGGTCCCATAAGATAGAGTACAGGAGGCGTCCCCATGTGAGGCTGGACTCCCTGGGGTCCACAGTCCTCTGTCTCCCTGAGGCGTTCTGGAGTGTCTGTTCTCTGCTTGGCRTTGTCCCCTCCTGTCTTGGAGAGTGGCTGCTCTGAAGAAGGAAGCTGGGTGGCCCCAGCYTGGGTTTCAGTCTTAGCTCTGCTGGGCCTGGCTGAGTGTCCTTCAGCAAGTGGCTTCATCTCCCTGTTTTGCAGAACCTGAGGTGCTGGGAGTTGCTGTCACTGGGTTGTGGGTGGTGCTGTGGTGATTGTGGGAGTGGCCAGGCCGGGGTGCTGTGTGCCTCTGGGCCCCCAGAACACTGGCCAGTGTTGGACCTGCTTCGTCCCTTCCATTTGTCATAGAACGGAGGAACAGGCTCCTTCTGCCCTTTTGGGTGTTTTTGGGACCCAAAGGTGATAATGCAGTGACGTGCCCAGCAGGTAGCGGGCGCTCTGTCACAGGTGACGCGCTCAGCACTCAGGTTCCGGGCACAGGGCAGCCCCCTCATCCTCAGGAGCCTCAGGCCCTCACCCAGCTCTCCCCAGCCAACCTCGAGGGTCCTAGCAGGGCCAGAGTCTGTGTGGAGGTCCCTACCAGCCCTCGTGGGAARGGACTTCAGGCCCACAGGGCCCCTTAGCCAGTGGCTGCCCACCTGCACCCGCCCAGCTGCCTGTCTTTGGAATTCCATGTGGAACCCTGCATTGTTATCCAGGTGCCCGGCAGAACATCCATCTCAGGCCCAGGAAGGGGTGGGTGGTCTGGCTGAGGTTCTCTCTAGGCTGAGGACTTCGGGCTGGCAGGTACTGGGTGATGGCTCCTGTGTGCTGACCCTGCTTGCTGCCCCCTCCCCAGCAGGAGCGGCTGAAGGCCCAGGAGCATCGGGCTGAGATGGAGGAGAAGGCGAGCAAGAGGGGCCTGGAGGCTTCGGGCAAGGCTAACCTGGCTACTGCTGGCCCGGGGCTGCTGCCTCGAAAGCCCCCTGGCCTGTCCGCTGGCCCCTCGGGCACCTATGGCAAGGCCATGAGCCCACCACCATCTCCCCGCGCCTCTCCTGTGGCTGCTCTGAAGGCCAAGGTCATCCAGAAGCTAGAGGACGTGTCCAAGCCACCCACCTACGCTTACCCTGCCACGCCTAGCTCCCACCCCAGCAGCCCACCACCCGCCTCCCCACCGCCCACCCCCGCCCTCACCCGCAAGGAGGAGGCCCCTGAGAACGTGGTGGAGAAGAAGGACCTGGAGCTGGAGAAGGAAGCCCCCAGCCCTTTCCAGGCCCTGTTCTCAGGTAGGGGTGTGGCCTGCCTCCTGCCTTCACTCTGGCTGCTATAGCACCTGCCCTCCTCTGTTCCTTTGTTTGCTCATTCATTCATTCTGTCTCTGTTGAACACCTACTGTGTACCAGGCCCACTGCTGAGACTCTGGGATGAATTCCTGTGCACACAGACAGACCCCCGCCTCTCCAGGCTCCCCTCAGAGAGGGCCTGGGAAACGGCATCCTATTAGGATCCACTCCAGGAAGTTTTCTGAGCATTAAGCAAAGCAAGACCTGTAGGCCTCTTCGCACACGTCGGTGCTGAGTTGTTGCACTGATAGTTCAGAGGCACCTGTTTTCGAGCAGCAGTCCCCGCTGTGCTGGGTGCACTCACACACTCTTCCTGTGTCCACCAGAACCTATAGTGTGTGGCTTTAGGGGCCGAGACCTGTGTCCCCTGCCTGGGGGCCATTTACAGCATGAGCTTGTGCTTAGAAGGACTTGGTGTGTAATTCAGAGTCTGGAGCCAGTGCTGTGTGGGCCTGGGCAGGTGTCTGCCCTCTCTGGGGTAGTTTGGTCTGATGCTGGTGTTAATGCTGAGCATGTGCCTGGCCCCGGGAGTGCACTGATGCTCCTTCCCCTTTGTCGGGTTCCTGGGTACACTGGGTCTGCTGTGGAGAATCACCACATGTGGCTCCTGTTCTGAGGGAGCATGCACGTGGCGGTGGCGACAGAACGAGGTCACTGTTGTGCTCTGAACAACTACATCGTTGGTGTGGACCTCAGGGTCTGCTGGGCTGGAGCCCCTGATGCTGCTYAGAGTTTGGGGCCTTCCACAGCCTTGTTCAGCGTTTGTTTCTGGTGCAGCTTCCCCCGGGGTGTGGAGGGGAGAGAGGGAGGGCTGCGGTTTCTGCCTTGGAGACAGCAAGATCCTTGGGGACAAGGTGGTGACGGGTTTTTCTCTTCGTGCCCCAGACATGTGGAAGGGCCCTGGGATTTCTCGGGATCACCTGGAAACACTCCCAGGCTGCAGCTGGCCCAGCAGGCGTGCCTGTCCTGCGTAGCGAGTGGGTGTTGGTGAGGACACCAGGGCTGTCAGAGCCCYGGTGGCCTCCATGCTGACTCCTGTGTCCTTGGCAGATATCCCACCCAGGTACCCGTTCCAGGCCCTGCCTCCACACTATGGCAGGCCCTACCCGTTCCTGCTGCAGCCTACAGCAGCCGCCGATGCGGATGGCCTGGCCCCCGACGTGCCGCTCCCCGCTGACGGGCCTGAGCGCCTGGCACTCTCCCCTGAGGACAAACCTATCCGCCTGTCCCCCTCCAAGATCCCAGAGCCCTTGCGGGAAACCCCAGAGGAAGAAGCACTGGCCGATCGGGAGGTGAAGGCAGAAGTGGAGGACGTGGACGAGGGTCCCGCAGAGCTGCCCGCCCTGGAGTCACCACTGGCCCTGCCTGTCCCAGAAACCATGGTGGCTGTGAGCCCCGCAGGTGGCTGCGGAGGTGGTCTGCTGGAGGCCCAGGCGTTGAGTGCAGCTGGACCGGGCTGCCCCGAGGGCTCTGAGCACCCAGACTTTGCAGACAGCGCCGAAGCGCAGGTGGAGTTGCCGGGCAGGACAGAATCTGGCGCGGTCACCCTGGAGCTTGGGGGGCGGTTGACGCCCGAGCCGCTGGTGGAGGCTAAGGAGGAGCCAGTGGAGGTGCCCCTGGAGGTGCCCATGGAGGTTCCTGTGGTGGAGGCAGAGCCGGAGGAAGGCCTGGCCCAGCCGGCCCTGAGCGAGCCCCAGCCCAGTCTGGAACTGCCGGACTGTGACCTGCCCACCAGGGAAGGACAGTGCCCGAGTCTAGAGGACCAGGAGGCTGCACCTGTGCCTGGCAGCACCTGCTACCTTGAAGAGGCAAGCTCCGAGCAGTTCCTGGCTGGCCTGGAGGACCCRCTGGCTGGCATGAATGCCCTGGTGGCCGCAGCGGAGCTGCCCCAGGCCAGATCTCTGCCCCCCCTGGCTTCTGGAGTTCAGGCCTTGGAGAAACTGGAGGTGACCCAGAGCCTGGCCCTGGAGCAGAGCTTCCTGCAGGGCATCACCCTGCTGAGCGAGATAGCGGAGCTGGAGAGGAGGAGCCAGGAGGCGGCAGGTGAGCTTGCTTGGTAGGGAGGTCTGGGGCTTTTTGAAAAAACGTTTTTACTGGGGAATGAAATCCATCAAATTATACTGTTTTATTGTGTATATRTATGAATATGTTTTCACAAATCCCCCCTCTCCCCACCAAAAAAAAGTTTTCATGTTTTTTAGTAAGATGTTTTAACACCCCCAGAACATGGCTTATTCATTTTCATTTTTTAAGAATTGTGTTAAATTACACATGACAAAATGTGTCCTCTCCAGCATTTTCAAGTGTCCAGTTGAGTGGTGTTACATACGCTGGCTGTTGTGTGCAGCCAGTCTTTGGGTAGATTTCCTGGTGGTAGAATTTTTCCTCATTCCATCAGTGGTGTGTTTTGTATCAGCAGGATTCTTTGGGTTGCAAGGGACAATTCTCATTTAAATTGGTTTAGGCCAGGTGTTGTGGCCTACGCCTATAATCCCAGTGACCATGACCGAGGAGGCTGAGGCAGGTGGATCACAAGTTTGAGGCCAGGCTCAGCAATTTAAGGGCCTCACTAAGCTGGTGTATGTAGTTATTCTAAAGTCCATCACAGTTTTTCTCTCACTAAAATAGTTCAGTTCCCTTCATCTTTGTCACAAAATAATAAATTAGAAAAGGACTGGGGATGTGGCTCAGTGGTTGAGTTCCTCTGGGTTCAATTCCTGGTACCAAAAAAAAAGGGTGTGATACTGTAATCACAGCTACTGGGCTACTTGGGAGGCTGAGGCAGGAGGATTGTGAGTTCAAGGCCAGCCTCAGCTGCTTAGACCCTGTCTTAAAATTTAAAAAGACATGGGGATGTGGCTTTGTGATAGAGTGTTTACCTATGTTTGCCTAGCATGTGCAAGGTCTTGGGTTCATTCCCTAGCATCACACACACACATTTTAAAAAACGGGGGTGGGCAGGAGAGAACTTATTGGCTTATGGAATCAAAGTTGAGCAGCTCTTGGTAATTTCAGGTATGGCTGGATCYAGGTGTTCAAACCAAATTGTAGCAGTTTCTCTTTTCCTGTGTCCCTACTTCCCCATCTCTCTCCTCCTCCCTCCCTCCCTCTCCTTGTTCCACTTTCTTCTCTGTTGGCCTCATTCAGGGCAGGCTCACTGCCCTCATGGGGGCTCCAACAGTTCCTCCCAGCTCAGCTCAGCTCAACTGCCTTTCAAAAGAGGCCACTCCTTTCCTGGCAGCTCTGGRGGAAATGTTGAGACTCTCATCTCATCTGTTGCCTGGGGTTCATGCTCTCTGCAGCAGCAGCAAATCCTGTGGCTGGGGAGATGAGCCACACTGGCCATGCTTGGCCTCTGACYGGAGATGTCACCTCTAGGGTGTCAGGAAGGGGTGGTCCTCAGAAGAGCACACAGTGCCTTCAGCAGGAGGGGCCGTGAATTCTGGGCCGGGCACAAGGCTGAAGAACAGAACAGGAAGCCAGGTGCTCCAAGTGTGTGTGGCTGGAGCTCTGGTGGCCGTGGCCTTGCTTGCCCAGGCGTAGGCTTGGATCCAGCAGGGAGCCCCCCCCCCCCATCCTTGGAGAGAGGACGAAGACCTTCCCAGGGTTCTGTGTGTTTTCCCTAGAACTTTTCCTGCACACCTGTACACGTTTTGCTTCTAAAATTAAACAGGACTCGGAAACCTGCCTTCTTCATTTAATATATTCTTCATGAAACGTTTTTCAAAGCTGTGGTTTTTAGAAACWTTTTTTTTTAATGGGCTGCCTGCCCAGTTTTCTGTCTAGTGAAGGCCCTGACCTTTGACCCAGTCCCTGCACGTAGCACCTGGTGACCTCACCCTTCACTGTCAGGTATTTTCATTTGCCTCCTTTTCTTCTTTCCAGTTACAGATAACGTGATGATAATCCTATCTTGGATTTTCTGTGGGCTGTCTGCCCAGAGGTAGAATCCTTGGGTCATGACTGCCACTTTTTTTGCATGTGGAGCGGGGGATGGAGCCCAGGGCCGTACGCATGCTAGAAAAGCGTTTTGCCAACCGAGCTACACCCTCAGCCCAGGACAGGGCACATGTTCAAGACTTTTTGATCCTCCTGGTTCCTAGGAAGCTCAGACAAGTGGCACCTCTCTATGGGAGCAGTGTCCCTTTCATATGGGCACCTGGCATGTGCACCTGCTGTGTGGGGCTGTTTGAAAGTCCAGCACTGTTTTCCATTCACTAAAATAGTTAAGTGGAAAAATTTTTTTTTTCTGGGAAAAAAATGAAAATTCCTTTATCCCAGTCACTGGGGGTGGGCTTTCTTTCAGTAGCACCTGAGGAAGGGCCGGAGGGTCAGGAAGTCGAGAGTTGTCAAGGAGGGGGCCATGCCTGGGGTCCCTGGTTTGGGGGTCACTGGCCACCTTTGTCCTCTTGCCTTGTGCACCTGGCTTGGTCCCATTAGGGTCTCAGTGCAGATCTGGCTCCTGGGTCATCTCTGTGGTCCTAGAGCCATCCATGGGTACATTGGTTTTCCGGGGCTGCCATCAAGATCTACCAGAGATTGGAGACTTCAGCAAGAGAGATTTCTTGTCTCAAAGTTCTGGAGGCCAGGAATTCTGAGATCAGGTTGTGGGCACAGGGTAGGAATGGTTCCTGCTGAGAACTTGTCAGAGAACTGTTGGCTTTTCTCCTGGACTTAGTCTTCTCCCTGTGTGTCCCTGTCTTCACACACTTTCTTCTTATAAGGACAAAGGCCATATTGGATTAGGCTGCACCCTAATGACCTCACCTTCTTATTTTGTGGTACTGGGGTTGGAACCCAGGGATGCTCTACTTCTGAACTACATCCTCAGTCCTTTTTATTTTTGAGACGGAGTCTTGCTGAGTTGCCCAGGTTGGCCTCAGACTTGAGATCCTCCTGCCTCAGCCTCCCAGGTCTGAGGGATTACACACGTGTGCCACTGCACCTAGCTAATGACCTTACTTTAACTYGATCACCTCTTTAAAGACCTTGTTTCCGTACTGTGGTACTTAGGGTTAGGGTCCAACATATGGAATTGGGGAGCACGTAACAAAATTGCAAACAAAAGAAGTGGGGGAAAAAAGAGAAAGGAGGAAAAAAAGTACACTGAAGAACACAACTGAACCCATGATGCCTGGCTTAGAGGCCACTTGGGTGTCCCTTGAATGTCAGTTGAGAGCCTAAGCAGGGCTGGCTTGTTGAAGGGAGGAGGAGGTGACAAAGTTGTAAAATAGCAGCTGCCCCTTCTTTCCCAAGGACCTGGAAGGGGGTGGGCAGGGCAGAGGTATCATGTCAGGTGCGCCCCTCCCCCCCGCCTGCTTCGGTGTGATACCCCTGGAGCTGGTGGAGTTTGCACCTGGAGGCCTCAATTTCCCTGAGTGTAAATAAGAGCAAAACCAGTGATGCTTAATGAGGGGCCATTTTGCTCCCCAGAGGATGTTGGGGGAGCGATGCTGACATCTAGTGGAAGAAGGCAAGGGACGTTGCTGAACATCCTGCAATGACAGCCCAGCAGCAGAGACCTGTCCCACCAACCCCCAAGGTGCACAGGGCCAAGGGTTTTGAAAAGGCCTGATCTCAACCCTGTKCTTGTTAACATACGTCTGTGGAGCTCTGAACGGTCATGGAGATGGAGAATGTGTTTTTTCCTCAAGCACACGTGGAACATTCACAAAAACCTGATCATGTTTGAGATCAAAGGAAAATGTCAWTTTAAAAATTAAAGTCATTTTAACTTGGTAGAGACTAGAACAAGCTCTCCTTTCCTGATGTGGAGGTGCTGGGTAAGAGTGGCCTCTGTCCAGGGTGTTGAAGTATTTTTTAGGGAAAACTGCCGTCCATTCATGTGAATGACCCAGTCACATGGATCACGCTGGCTGGAGTTCCCTAATGTATAAGGTCCAAGCTGTGGGCCTCTCTGTCTACTACAAAGAGAATTGGAGACACCTAAATGCCACCAGTAGTGATTATTCAGATTAATGAAACTCGTGAATGCAAAAGAGTCACCCTGCTGAGGTTAGGTTTGTCTATTAAATTGCTGATATTTTAGGGTTTCTGGCCTTCCAAAATGATGGTGTTTGTAAGGGTCAAGGTAAGAATGAGGTATGGGGCTGGGGATGTGGCTCAGTGGTAAAGCACTTGCCTAGCATGTTTGAGGCCCTGAGTTCAATCCTAGCACTGCAAAAAAAAAAAAAAAAAAAAGAGCTAGGCCTGTTTGTTATGTGCTAATGTAAAAAGATGTTGAGCAGAAAAAAAAAGCAGAGTGTGACATGTCGTGTGTATTGATGGGTTCTATTTTTATCTTTATATAGGAGTGATGTATGTTAGGCATATTTGAATATGCACAAATATTTCTGTAGAAACTGCATCAACAGTGGTCTCCCCAGGGAGGGACCTGTGTGTCAGGGAGAAGGGGCTTTTGTTCACTCCTAGAAAGAACCTCTGTGGGCCTCTGGCCTCTCTCCTGAAGTTCTTCTTTGCTCCCCCACAGTGTGGGGACAGAATGGTCCTGTGTGTTATTCTCACCTATTCTTTTCTCTTCACACTGTGTCCTGCATCTCAGTAAAGCCCTACTCCAGGTGCCTTATGGCTTTGTGGTTTGGGACCTGTGCTCACTCTGTTTGGGATCAGGGAGGGAGTTGGTGGCAATGCCCATGAGCTGTCCCTGCCTCAGGAGCACTGAACAGGGTGGGTGCAGTATACTTGCTGGTGGCCCCAGCCCCTCCCTCTGTGCGGGCTCACCTACCTCCCTGTCTGCAGGGACAGAGGCAGGCCTGGCAGTGCGGCCCTCCCTGGAGAGCCTGCTGGCGGCCAGCAGCCACATGCTGAAGGAGGTACTGGACAGCCCCTTGGTGGACCCGCTCAAGAACCTGCGGCTTCCGCGGGAGCTGAACCCCAACAAGAAGTACAGCTGGATGCAGAAGAAGGAGGAGCGGGTGAGCTGTGCGGGCCTTCCTTCCTGTCTCGTGGCCTGTGGGGCGGAGGCCGGGGTGGGAGTCCCACCACTAAGGTGCTGTCCTGCTGGGCCACGGCTGGCTTGGAGCCAGCAGCCAGCCTCCTCCATGGCCTCTCCATGTGGCCCTGGGCAGGGCTTTCCCTCCTGGCTTTCGTTATCCATCTGCTATCACATCAGGCACGTCACATGGTGGCAGCTTGATGAACTGAGAATAGAACYGCCTGGGAGCCAGGCCTGGTGCTGCCCTCTCTACCCTGTGCTCTCCGATAACATGCTCAGCCACATCCACTGCGCCCTGGTGATGGCAGGCGCTGTGCCCCACTCCATCGTGTGCCTTGGTGGGTAGCACTCCGTAGACTCAGCACTATAGTCCCAGCATAGAGACAGGGATGAGGCCATAGCGAGGGACAGTGATGGGATTCAAGCTAGGGTCCCTGCAGCCCCCAAGGGCCTGGCTCTCACTGTCCCTATCTCTGAGACGGGACACTGACAAGTGGGCTCCCGCGGGGCATCCTCATTCCTTGGCCCTCCTCCCCTTTCCCCTCCAGATGTACGCCATGAAGTCTTCCTTGGAGGATATGGATGCCCTGGAGCTGGACTTCCGGATGCGGCTGGCCGAGGTCCAGCGGCAGTACAAAGAGAAGCAGCGGGAGCTGGTGAAGCTCCAGCGACGCCGGGACTCCGGGTGAGTGAGACCCCAGCCCCTGTGTGGCGGGGCTCGCCCTGCCAGCTGGTCAGGCAGCAGCAGGCGGGTGCCCGTCTCCTACCTCGCCAGTGCTAGTGTTGGTAGGTCGGCTCCGGCAGCTGTCAGGTGTGCGTGGACCCAAGTGACGCGCGTGCAGCCTGTGCCCTTCTCTGTGCCCCGCCCACCCCAGGTTCACAGCCAAGCCTGTGATTCTTTTTAAGGGACAGGCACGAGGATCCCCATAGAAGCTTGGCACGCAGAGGCCCTGGCAGGCCGCGGAAACGGACCCACGCCCCGAGCACCCTGTCGCCCCCCCGCAAGAGAGGGAAGAGCCACAACAGTAGCGGAAAGTAAGGCTGGCCCCTCGGGGGTCGGGGACTGGCTCTGAGCTCAGAGGGGAGGAGCAGGGCCCCCATGGTGCCTGCACCTGGGCGCTGGGGACCTTCAGTCCCTGGGGCTCTGGCCCCCTGGAATGGCGGCTCCCAGGAAGTGCAGTGCGCTACCCAGGCCAGGAGGGCAAGCAAGGCCAGGAGCACCGAGCTGGGAGGAGCATCCCGGAGAGAGGTCTTCTGTGGCGCAACCCAAGTGCTTGGCCTGTCTTCCTGCTCTGCCCACTTCCTCTGTGGATAGGGACTAATTCCTGCTCCTCCCCATCCCCCTCCTCCCCGTGGAGGGACTGCTGTGCCACCAGCCCTGCTGGACTGGCTCTACTTGAGCTGTTGCTGGGTCCTCTCCACGCCCGATATCTCCCCATTCTCCTGGCCAGACCTGATGGCTCGTCCTGCCCAAGACCAGGGCTGCCTACTGTGAGAGGGCTGCCACCTCCGTGTGCTCTGGGGATGAGATCCTCCTGGGTGGCAGCAGAGCAGCTTCACATGGCACCTCTGGAGGCTGAGCTGAATGCTGGCTGGTTGAACTGAAGCTCTCTCTCCAGGGCCAGGCTTTGGGGTCCCCCTCATCTGTAGACAAACCAAATGAGGCCCACTGAGGAAAGGACTTGGGAGTGTGCTGCAGCCTGGGACAGGCGGGCTGGGTGGGTGCTGGGCACCCTAGCTTGTGGAAGCTTCAAAGTACAAAGAAAAGGCAGTGGGGTGTCCACAGGTCTTCTTGGTAGAAAACAGCCCCACGGCCCCCACATCTCACATTTGACCTCCTTGGATATTCCTGCTGAAGAAAGGGTGGAGAGGAAGAAACACCCTGCMAGCAGCCATCGGAGGGTAGGGAAGAGGCTTCTGGAGAAGAGAACAAGMGGCTGGGGCCACCAGCAGCACAAACCTAGCAGTCAGGAATATGGACCCTGCGGGGGCAGGGGCTGAACTCTCTGCTTTGAGTCCCATCTCCACCCTTTACTGTGACCTTGGGCCAGGTGTTAGCTTTCCCAAGCCTCAGTTTTCTCATCTAAAAGCAAACAGTATGGCTAGGCATAGTGGCACACTCCCATGATTCCAGTGACTAAGAAGGCTGAGGCAGGAGGATTGCAAGTTCCAGGTTGTCCTTGGCAACTTAGTGAGACGCTGTTTTGAAATAAAAACTACTGGGGATGTAGCTCAGCAGAATATTGCCTCTGGGTTCAATCCTCAGTGCTGGGGGTGTGGGGTGGGGGAGAGGAATAAAAAATGGAATGATGTGTTGCTTTGTGGCTAAAATAAAAGGCACGAACAACGCAAGAGACAAAGGTCAGTTCCTCCTCTGTCACTTGGGAAGCTTCAGCCTAAAGCAGCAAGACAAGTCTTTGTCACTGTCCCAGCTGCCTGTGCCCATGAGGAAACCAGAATTCAGCAAGTGCTTCCTCCTTCACATGAGTCTTGATTTAATTCCCTCCACCCCCCCATCCTGGTGGATTCCCTTGTTCTTGGAGCGTTTTTGTAAAGAGGTATTTTACCATTTAAAGATGCGTGTGTGTGTGTGTGTGTGTGTGTGTGTGTGTGTGTGTGTGTACGGGTCAAAGCACGTAAGAGAAAGGCCGGCAGAGGATACTGACTTGAAGTATTTTTTTCTTCTTTTACATTAGAATCTCATTCCGCCTTATTCACAAATGTCCCGCATTCTAGCACTGTAGTTTTAAAAGGTCTGTCTCCCCAGACTGGTCACTCTGGTATTCATCACGGTCTGTGCTTCAGCATCCAGAGCCCAACCCTTCAGGGCCACAAGGGTGGTCACCAGCCCTCCAATGTGGCCTGGCCAGGGTGCTGACCAAGGGTGTTTTTTGGTTTTAGGCTGAGCAGCAAGTCCCTGCTGACATCAGATGACTATGATCTGGGAGCAGGGATCAGGAAGAGGCACAAGGGTCCTGAGGAGGAACATGAGGCCCTCATCGGAATGGGGAAAGCCAGGGGGAGGAACCAGAGCTGGGATGAGCAGGAAGCTTCATCTGACTTCATGAGTCAGGTCAGTAGTACAGTCTTCCAAGGGTGCTGTGACCCTGGGATCAAGAACCTAGAGGTTATGCCCAAGTGAATGCATGTTCCCTTTGCAAGTCTGTTGGCCCCTCCTTCTCTGTATAGAAACCGAAGGAATGATTGCCTTGGTGTATGGTGTATGCACAGAGAAATAAAGCCCAGAGGTCAGGGACTTACAAAGTAACACAGCTTTAGAGGTGGATCCGGAACTAAAAGATACATCCATTTGAGTGCACCATGACCCTTTGTTGAAGCCAAACAGGGAGACTGCAAGTTCTTAACCAAATAATACAATTACTCTGTTGTTTAACAGTATAATTGTTTAATGAGCAGCTTCACCAGTTCCATGGTTCTAAGAAATAAGGGCTTGATGCCATTGTAATTTCCTCCGTGAACTCTCCAGGGGTACCGGGGTGAGAGCCAACTCCTTGATTTTTCTTATTTCTGCAGAGCATGGAAATCATCCACTTAAGGCCCTCATCTCTAAATGCTAATGTACTTTGTCATCCCTCCCCATAAAGCCCTGTGCAAAGGGGATGTTTTGGTTGATTTGGCCATCAGAAGGGAATACTCTCACAGGGAGACTGGGTCCAGGAAGAGAAAGATTGTCATTTTGTACATCAGAATTCTTTTCACTCTGAAATTGTGGCGAGGGATGCTTTTGTTGTTTAAATGACACTGTCCCAACTTCTTTCCTCCTTATGAAATGCTACCTGATTAAAGAAAATAGAGATAACATGTTGAAATTCATGGCATTAATGGCTTTGAAAACCGCACATTTCACTTCCACAAATGACTACAGTTGACGATAGATGTGCAAGCAGGAATTTGAATCTGTGAAATCTCTAATCATTCTTTCTGCTTCAGGCATCCAAGGCACACTCCAGGCATTTTCTTGGCAGCTTTGGCCCATTTAGTTGGACAGGCTGGTTTAGATTGTGCAGCAGTCTCTGTCAGCTGTTGGAGGTGGTTGAGATAAGCAGATCAGCCATGCTTTGATCTAGCTTTTCAATCTTGGTTCCCTTTCTCCTTTCTTAATCCGGCTACCTTCTCCAGGCCATTGGAAGCTCTCCTTGCTTAAAAGTGCTTCCCTAGGAGGTACCAGAGTGTGCCATGGAAAGCCAAAGGGGAAAGACCAGTGCCAATGACAATTGTGACCACAGTAACAGCTATTTGATAAGTGTTTACTTTGGGCCATTCTGATAAGTGCCTTCTGTGCCTTAAACTCGGTGCATCTTAAGAACAACCTGGGGATATCCGGACATAAATATCCCCATTTTACAGAGTGTAAGGATTGAGGCGGAGAGGAGTTAAGTAACTTGCTGGAAGTCAGGCATAAGGCAGGACTGGAGCCCAAGCTCTTGAGTTGTACATAGAAGACGACTCTCCGGTTTTGCCAAATGTCTTAACTTGTGACCCAACTTCTCTCTCCAGCTAAAGATCAAGAAGAAGAAGATGGCCAGCGACCAGGAGCAGTTGGCAAGCAAACTAGACAAGGCCCTGTCCCTCACAAAGCAGGACAAGTTGAAGTCACCCTTCAAATTTTCGGATGCCTCTGGGGGGAAATCCAAAACTAGCGGTGGCTGCGGCAGGTTCTTAACTCCTTATGATAGCCTGCTGGGCAAGGACAGGAAGGCACTAGCCAAAGGCCTAGGCCTGTCTCTGAAATCCTCCAAAGAAGGTAAACACAAAAGGGCCGCCAAAGCCAGGAAGATGGAGGTGGGGTTCAAGGCCAGAGGCCAGTCCAAGTCGGCCCATTCCCCGTTCGCCTCGGAAGTGAGCAGCTACTCCTACAGTAAGTAGCGGCCGTCGCACCGCCTCTCGGCCACTGTTTTTTTCTTTCCTTCACTTTCTTCCTCTTGTTTTCCTGTGTGGAGCTCCAAGGCCCCYTTTTGACTTTGCGCCGCGTCAAAGTCCGCAGCGGGTGCGCCTGAAGCAGAAACGCCTGTGATTGGCTGGCGTGGTGCTGGGTAGGCACCTGTAGTTGGTGGGCGTCAGTGATTGGCTGGTGGAGGCTGAAGGCCGCCTGCCCTCTTTCCGCTTGCGGTCCGGAAGCCGYCCTTGTGGAGGACTTTTCGTGTTATCAAGTTTGCGACCGTCAGCCTAGAGAGGCCGGAGTACGACTGCTTTTATGAGTGCTAGAGATGACGGGTTCTCCTGCCCGCAGGAAGCTCGCGGTCTTCTGCGGAGAATCAGGCCAGGTGTTAGTGGAAACGGAGGTTGTGGAGCGTGCCTCCGAGCGCTTCACGGGCGTGTTTTCGATGTATCTGTGACAGCCCTGCCATCGGTTTTGTTGCTGAGGATGCGGAGACCAGGGAAGAATATGCGCCTGTGTGTGGAGAATCGAGCCGGGGTTAAACCCGGTTCTCTCCCACCTGCCTGCCCGCTGGAGCTTCTTGCCGCAACGGACATTACCATTTCGGCCCTGTCCACTGCGTATGTGGCTCTCCAGCCCTTGACGTGGAGCAGCCAGTGGGGCTGAGGGACGGAGTTTTGTTCCATTGGCGTACAGACTGCCGCCCTGGAGCTGTTGTGGTTTTCCTGAGTGAGTTGGCTTTCCGTGGTCTGCAGCCTGCTGCGTGGCAGGTAAAAGGTGCTCACTCGGTACTCATGGGCCGAGTGCCTCATGCCGCAAGCCTAGGGTGGTCAGGTGCTCAGGACGTGGCTGCTGCAGGAAGATTTCTTGAGTACGGAGTCCCTAGGTCCTGGCGAGACTGGGCCTGGGTTGACCCCTACTAGGTTCTGTGTGTCCTGGGCTTTTGATGGGGTCCGTCCTGGTGTGTGTGTGTGTGTGTGTGTGTGTGTGTTTGAATGCCACGTACAAAAAAATGGACATATTTAATGCCAAACTGTGTAAGAGTGTTTATGGACTTACTGCTACCCATCCCAGGGCTTTTGGGGAGCCTTAGGTGAGCCCGTGTGGTAAAAAGGGGAGAGTCTGCAGACTCTCATGGATGAAAGACAGGCAGACTGTTTGGTGAGGACATGAGTGAGAGTGCCATAGCTTTGGTGCTTCTCAGTCTGGATGGGTGTGATCAGACAGCACTGCCCAGGTCCCTGACTGTGTGGGTGCGAGGACAGACAGACAGTGASAGACTGAAGGGGAAGGGAAGGGCTTTCCTTTGCGGCTTGCACCTTGTTCGTTTCTGAATAATGAAAAGGGGAGGGAGGGAGTTGCTCCTCCTTGACTGGTTGCTAGAAGAATTCCCACACGCCTTCACTTACAGGGGGACAGGGGTTGGGTAGAGGTAGAGGGCACAGATCATCTCAGTTCCCAAGGTCTTTGGGGCCCTTTGAGCTGATGAGTCCATTGCAGCAGGAGCGTGTGTGTTTTTGCGAGTATGAGGACGTGTTTTAGTTGTCCGTCTAATTCTGTTATGTCTTGTCCCACAACTTTACTGCCTGGGGAAAGAATCCAGCTAACATTGGAACAGGGAAGTCAGTGGGCCTGTCTTCACCTAGAGAGTGACTGCAAGAGACACCTGGTTGTAGACAGAGCTCTTCTCTTTAGTTGGTTTGTTTTTCTACAGTTTTAGGACAGTGGGAGTATAGGGCCACAGCGGTGGAGGTGTGTTCCAGCAGGGATACCAGCAGAGTGGTCCCTTCACTTTTCCAGTTTGGATTGTAGGACATGGGTGGCATGCCTGGGAAGGCAGGTTTTGTCACCTTCTGGCATCTCTGAGTTCGGATGTGTCTTCAGAAGGGAGAGATTGGTACACAAGCGGGAGAGCTATGGMAAGGGCTAATGACTTGGTAGGACAGCCCTGTACTCCAGATTTGCCAGACAGTCCTGAAGTTGGGATCTTGGTTAGAGTGGAAAGGGGAGATGTTGATAGAAGCAGCCAGAGGGCACCCCACCCCCCATTTGTGTGGTTTCTCTTGGACTTGATGGCACGTTTTGCCAGAATGATAGTTGCATGTGTTAATGTTCCTCTTGTTTGGCGTGGGCTTTACTAGATCAACGGATTACAGTCTTTGGCCATGGAGCTGTTTCTTCCTGCTCTTGCTTAACAACCCAGTGTGTAAAATGGAACAAAATGGTGTATATTTGGGTTGAAGTTGGAAGGGACCAGAGCTATGCTCCTCCTCCAAGCTGGTTGGTCCTCTCCCAGGAGGGTTGGCAAGTCCTGGCCCTGTATCATGTAGTAGGGCCACAGGCTTTAGGAAGCCATTGGTGGTGTGCTGGTGGAAAGGGGTGGGAGACCTCCAGTGAACTCATTCRTCAGTTTCCCCGGTGTGAACTCTCCCTGGGGCCCATTTCAAGCTGTCTTTGCAGCGTTGCTGAGTGGGGAGTTGGGAAGAGATGAGTTCCATCAGGGGCTGTGGCCCACCCCTACAAGGAGCCTGTGGGCTGTGCGCAGTGCACGGGTGGAAGGGAACCACATGGCAGTGGCCCCAAGGCCTGGGGAAGGTTCTCTGTTCCCTAGAGCAGGGCTCCTCCATCCTGCCAGTGCCTGGGAAGGCGGAGTGACTGGTGGGTGATTCCAGCAAGCCTAAAGAGGGCCCGGATCTGGCACCTGGGAAGTGCCTGAGTGTCTGAGGCTAGCACTCGGAGGGTGAGGTGCGGGCCAGGAGCAGAGCTTTCCCAGGGCCAGGAGGCATTTGGCTTTGTTCTGGACCCCCAAAACAGTGAAAGCGACACCACCCCGCTCCTCGCTGTGCTCTGTGACTTATTTTTATTAAAAACTACTTTGACTGCAGATACGGACTCAGAGGAGGACGAAGACTTCTTGAGGGATGAGTGGTCTGCCCAAGGCCCCTCCAGCTCCAAACTGACCTCCTCCCTCCTGTGCGGCATGGTGGCCAAGAACAGCAAGCCCCCCKCGGGCCCCAAGCTGACCAAGCGGGGTCTTGCGGCCCCCCGGACTCTGAAACCCAAGGCGGCCGCCAGCAGGAAGCAGCCGTTTTGCTTGCTGCTTCGAGAGGCCGAGGCACGCTCCTCCTTCAGCGACTCTTCGGAGGACTCGTTTGACCAAGGTTACTAGCTCCAAACGCGAAATACCTTCCATGTTTTAGCGCGAGAGAGTGAGTGCGAGAGCGAGAGCGAGAGCGCGTGCGCACAGCAGATGGCGACGCTGCGGCCGTCCACTYGGATGGCCACAGGAGGAGCCGTCTTGGTTCTTGGCAGCGTAGCCTGCCGTATCAGCCTATTTTTATTTTTGTTTTTGTTTTTATTGGTACTGTATCATTGTGATAATATCATTGACTGGCTCTTTTCGAGCTCTTACACGAACTGGTTTTTAGTCTCTACTTTTCTCCGCCCTCCTCCTTCTGCGCCCTGTCCCCACCCGAGGCCCTGCACCTTTCCTGTCCTCCCAGACCGCAGGCCTGGGCTGGGCGCTCTTTTGGCGTGGGCCCCGCAGAGGCTTCCTGAGGAGCATTTTGTAAATGGACTTCTGTCGTGTGGGCGTGTGACTTGATGTTTGTACTGCGATTTTGGTAATACCAAGCTTTATTAAACATACCGAGTTCATTTTTAACTAAACCGTGTGCCTTGTCTCTCTTGCTGTGTCCTTACTAGACATCAGGTTGATGCTTCCCTTCATTTTGTTCCTCCTCCCCCTCCTCCCTCCTGCTCCTCCTCCCCACCCCAGAAGGAGTAGACGGGTGGCACCGTTCTTCTCTATTATTCAAATATCCCTGGTGGCTTTGGCATCCATCCCACTGTTCAGGTTGAGTCAGCCGCTCTCACCTCCAGCATCATCTTTTTTTTTTTTTTTTTTTTTTTTAATTAAGCTGCTTGTTTGTGTTTTATTTTCTTAAAGCTCTGCTCTTACTCACCAGTGGTTAAAAAATATTAACTTTTAGATACTTGTCTTCTAACACATATTTCTGTTTTGAAGGGCATGTAAGCAGTGCAGGGTCAAGGCTGTGTGCTGTCCCAGGTTTTTGTTGTTAAATATGGAAGTGTGGCCTCATTGCCACGTGGAAGGACAAAAGGCAGGCCTAGAGCACTGGCCTGTGAGTCCTAGGCCTGGTTTGGTCTCAGCTCAGCCAGGGGTCCTTAGCCAGCTCTCTAAAAAGAAGGTCAGACTCCATGACCTCTGAGATTATGCTGGCTCTGACTTCTCTAACCTCAGAATTGTACTCTGGGGTTAGAAACATYTGAGTCCTTCAGGCCCTTCAATCAGAAATGTCCCAAGAAGGGGAAGCAAGTAAAAATGTTTCCTAGCCCTGGTTTTAGGGTTTGCCTCAGGGTGGATTTCCTTTAGGGTCAGACCACAGGGATCCCCAGAACCCTGAATAGCAACACCCAGATGTCAGCTGTTCCCTGAGGAAGACCTGGGGTGGAGTGTGTCATAGCAGACCTGGCCATGACCTGGCCATGACCTGGCCCAGGCCCCCGGAACCAGAAAGCTGCCCCCATTTTCCAGCCTTGCTCCAGTTCCCCTGCCTCTGCCACCTCCCCTCCAAATTGGCAGAGATGGATTTTGGGTGACCGGGCGATGGCAGTTAAGGAGGCTCATGTTCTCCTGGGCTGCTGCCGTGTCTGAGGAACTGTGCCCTGGGCTAAGAAGAGAGGCCACCAACTGGCTGGCCAGCCTAGTTTTCTGAACCCCTCCCCACTGCCCAGCTTCTATGGATGAGTCTGGTTGACTTGCCATCCCCTTTTCCCCCATCACCTCCTGCCTCTCCCCAACCTGGGCTGGACCCCCTCCTCTCTGCTTATATACCCTTAAACTCAGGGTTCTAGCTCCCAAATTTTTGAGCTCTGCTGCCCCAGCTCAGATCCCACAGAGAAGCAGGCAGTCTCCCAGACCTTTCAGGAGGGGCCATGTGCCCTTGGGCCCCAGGACTGGACCCAGTAATGCCAGTGGACAGAGACCAGATAGGGGAGGACGGGTGAGGGAGGGGCTCAGCTCCTCACCTTGCCCACTGCAAGCAAAGCAGCCGGTGAGGTCTGGAGAGGGACACCCGGGGATAGGGCCTCACCGACCCTGGTACTAAACACTTATTGGCTTGGCTTTTCTAGTGTGTCTGCTTTCTCCTCCCCGCAGCTTGACCATACCTCCACCCTTGACCCCTACCCATGATGCTTTGAGTGTCTGTTTCGGTCTCTTGCATTTGCTCTCACGCTGCACTCTGGACGCAAAGCGAAGGCTGGGAGTAGGGCAGACGGCGCAGCGGGTCACTGAGCTTGGGTCCGAGCCTGGCTCGTTGCTCCGTAGGTAGGCAAAACCCTTTTCTTTCTGTCCTCTGTACACCTCCCCTCCTCGGGGTCTGCCCCCACCGGGTCTGGCAGCAGCAGATTCCTTGGCGTTTATTGGGTTTTGGGAAACCAAACCAAGTTATTAACCCCTTGCCCTGAGCCAAGATTTTTTTTTTTATACATATGTATATGTATGTATACAAAGTTCTCTGCAAATTTACTTATTGGGGTTTTTCCTCCCCTTTTGCCCTTGGCAAGCTCTGTTGCCTCAGGTGTGGACAATTCCAGAAAGGCTTTCTTGGCCCTCAGACCCCCCATTGCTCCTCTGCCCCCATGGACCTTGACCCAAGCAGACCTGCCTTCGTGGGAGGCTGCCAGCCACATTCATCAGGCAGGCGGGGAACCGGGACCACAGGAGTCCGYAGGACCACAAGATGATCCATGTCCCTTTTGTAGAAAGCACCTTTTCTGGGCTTCTGCCTTCTAGATGTTCCTCCACTTCAAAGTGCTGGGACTGGCCTGCTTCTGGCTTTCTGGGATCTGATAGGGCCTCGGAGGGCTCTCAGAAACCCAGAGCCAGCCCTCCTGCCCTCCTGCACCCACCCACGCTGCCGGCCCGAGAGCCTTCTGGAAGGAAGATTTCTGGAGTTACAGAGTCCATACCTGAGTGGCCAGGGCAGTGTGTTTTTAGAAGGGCAATCTCCTGGTCCCTTGCCCAGCCCCATGTCCCCATCCCAGCCAGCCACCCATGTGCCACCCTGCCCAAATTGACCAACCCCAAGGAGACCTGATGTGGGGGACCCAGGTGCTGTCGAAAGTCTGCCTACACTTAGCCTGCTTTGCCGCTGTGGCCCACTGGGGCGGAGACAGAACCATGTGACGTCGCAATGTGAATGATCGCAAGTGTGCACTGCCTGCCTGCCCCTGCCTGCCCCGCTAGCCTCCCTAGCCTGCTGCATCCATCGCTCTGGAGCCAGTCTCCCACTCACACCCTCTTAACAAACCTGCCCTCTCTGCCTTCTCCCTTGCTCCACCCCTTTGGACTCCTGCAGCTCCTCACCACCTCCCTCTCCCAGGCTGGAAAATCCCAGCAGAAATCCAGGCTCCTTCTGATAAATGGATAGATGGAATCTGTGCTCCTGGGACTGCTGGTTTTGGCCACTAGTTGTACTTAACCAAGTGGTGGCTTGGGACGTTGGCAGGAGAACGTGGACTTGGCCATCTGTCTTCCCCCATGCAACCCCTGAGCGAGTTCTGGCTGGGCAGTGCTGCCTTCCATCCTGCCTAGGCCCTGCCCTTGGCCAGCAGCTCCCAGTGCTCTGGCCTTTTGAGGCAGATGAGTCCCTGCTGCACGTGTCCCTCTGCAGCTCCTTGGCTATGGTGAATCAGGTGTCAGGTGCCTCCTCTCCACCCTTTTGGGTCTGCAGGGCCATCTCCCTGGGAAGGTCAGAAGCAACTCTGTGCCACAAGACAGTTTTTTGGTGGAGGGTTTGGTTCTTAGGCAGGTGGCATCATCATTTCCTGCCAGCTTTGCCACCTAGCCTGCCAGTGTTCTGATACCCAAGCTGGCCTTGAGGGACTGCTGGCTCTYAGGCTATCAGGACCAGTGGCTGGGGAGATGTATGTCCTTATTCTCCTACCAGAGAGACAGGTTTAGTCAGCCAGCCCCACTGTTGCCTGAGCACTTGGCCCCTGAGAACCTTGGTCTCCACATGCAGAATGGGTCACCTCACCTGCCCCAAGTGCTTCCTGAGTCGAGAACCGTGGCCCACTGTAGCTTCTGCTGCAGTGGGGACAGCATGGTTCCTCTGGAGGCCCTGATTCTTTTGATCTTCCTACATGGGATCCTGAGTCTATACCCTGTCTTTTCTCCTACTACGTGGGATCTTCCCCTTAGCAGGGCTGCGGGGTAGGAAGGTTATCTGGTGCCACAGATAAGAAAACAGGGACTCAGGGGAGACTTGGCACCCAGGCCCCTAAGCATGGGGGTGCTACTAAGAGTCAACTCAGTAGCTAGAGCCCTATTTGAGGCTTGAAGTATGGGGGCCCCAAGCCCCTTAAAAGAGACCATACTTCCACCTTCTCCTGTCACCGGCCCCCAGGCTTCCAGCAGTTTGCCACTAGCTCCTTGCCTGGACCCCTCAGCCTAAGCTCCATTTCCCTCTCTTCTTTCCACTTCCTTTTTCTTCTCTCCTGCCTCCTTCCTCAGCCTCCATGTCTATGTCGGGGCGTGTGTGCGTGTGTGAGATGTGGTGAGCGCTGTCTCCAGTCCTTGTCTGTGTGTCTGTCCCCTGCCCACAGCACAGGTGCATGTCCGTGCTCCCCTCTCAGAAGCCCACCCTGACACCCAGAGCCGCTGGGATGCCCAGGATGCCCATGTGCTGGGCTCTGATTGATGGAGGCCTTGGGCCATGGGTGGGTCTGTGGGCTGGTTCTGGATCCTCCCCCAGAGGCCCCCTGGTGAGGATGGTGGGGAGGCTGGAGCCCAGTGGCTGCTCCGGCCCCTGGGGTTGGGGGTGGTGGGGGGCGGCATGTGCCTAGGCCAGGGCCCTGACTTGCCCCCTGTTTTCTGCACGCCAGATGAGAGCTCCGAGGAGGAGGAGGACGAGGAGGAGGAGCTGGAGGAGGAGGAGGCTGGTGGTGGCTATAGGCTGGGCACCCGAGAGCGGGCCCTGTCGCCAGGCCTGGAGGAGAGTGGTCTGGGCCTGCTGGCCCGGTTTGCAGCCAGCGCCCTCCCCAGCCCCACCGTGGGGCCATCTCTGTCGGTGGTGCAGTTGGAGGCCAAACAGAAGGCCCGGAAGAAAGAGGAGCGACAGGGCCTGATGGGTGAGTGTGGGCAGGCGTGCCACCAGGCGGTGGGTGCCTTGGGCCCCATCCCACAGATGAAACTCAGAGCTGGATAGGAGCAGAGCTGGGAGTGGGTGAAGCATCTGCCCTGTGGGCCAGCCCTGAGTGGTGCCAGTGCTGGTGTTGGTGTCATGGACCCTKGCCTGCTGTCCTCTTGGGGGGTTTATGGCCACCCAAAGATAGCATCCTTTACTCTCATGCTCTGAGCAAACATGGCCCTATGTCCAGTATCCTGGAGGCTATAGGAGCCTAAGGGAGGCCCTTGACCTTCTTAGGGACAAGAAGCCACTCCAGATTAGAATATCAGCTGGCCTGTGAGGGACATGGGAGCTGGCTGAGAAGGAGGTTCAGGGAGAAGCAGCCTAGGTATAGTGAGGAGGAAAGGGATGCCATGCTTGGGCACTGGAGGGGTGCTCTCGGTGAGTTTGAGGCGGAGGGCTAGGCCTCGCAGTGCTGGGGCTGGGCCTGGAGAAGTGCAGGGGGCTTGGCAGGCTCTGTACTCTGTTGTCATTGATCTTGAGGCTTCTCTGTGAGATCAGGCTCTCCCTCCCACTGCCCCAATGGGCTAACTGAGGCCACAACACTAATACTTGGGCAGGAGACTTGGGCTCATCCTGGTCTCACTTCCTTCCTGTCTGATCAAGTTCTTGTATCAGGGTCATGTGTCCTTGGTGATTCCCTAGTCTACTTTTTTCTCAGCCTTAAGAGGGGGCATGGGATCCTCCTGGTAGGTGCTGGGACAGGGAAATGGGCACCATGATGCTACCCTGCTGCTCTCTGCAGGCCTCCTCTGAATGACCCCTCTCCCCAGCTTAGGCACAGAGCCTCACTCTCAGCCTGCAGTGCCTCCTGAGGCCCCATTTCTGGCCATGCCAGGCTCCAGGCCCTGACCCTGCCTTCCTCCTCCTTCCTTTCGCTTCCTCTCACCATTATTCCCTGGGCTTCAGACTTGGTTTTCCTGCAGGGTGCCATCAATGCCCTCAGGCTTGCTCTTGTCAGGATGCGCCTTGCAGAAGCAGCTGAAGGACTTTTCCCCAGAGCTCAAACTTGAACAGGACTCTTTTCTCAGAATTTGTTCCTAGTTGCCTCTTGGTGGGATTCCACCTGTTTCTCCACCAGCCTCCTGCCACACCCCCACCCCAAAACTTCAGGTTACTGGCTCTAGTGCCTTCAGCTTTTATACTTGCTTTTGCTGAAGGAGCAGACATCCATTCCGTCCAAATTGCCCAGTGGGTTGACCCAGGGTTCGAATTGTTCCCTTCTTATATTTTTCACGTCTGAAGGGTYTGGAGTGATGTTTCCTTTTTAATTTCTGATATAATTTCTGCCTCCTTTTTCTCGCCTTCCTCATCATTCTGGCTAGAAATTACCCACTTCAATGATTTCTGCTGTTATTTCCTCTCTTCTGTTTTCTTTGGGTATAATTTGCACCTGGTTTTCTTAGGGTAGAAGCTTAGGTTGCTGCTTTGGGATCTTATTCTTTTCCAATGCAGACATTGAAAGCTCTATAAACTTCTAGTAATGCTGCTGTAGTTGCACCTCACATATTTTGATATGATTATTGTATTTTTATTATCCAGGATATTTTCTAGCTTCTCTTTTGATTTCTGCTTTGACCCCAATGATTATTTAGGAAAGTATTTGTTTTCCAAATATTTGAGAAAAGTTGCCTGGTTATCTGGTTGTTGTTGATTTCTAATAAAACTCCATCRTGGATTGAGAGCATAGCTATACTATCATTTCAATCTTTTATTTTACTTAAGTAATTTATTTTTGTGGTACTGGGGATTGAACCCAGGGCCTTGTGCATGTGAGGCAAGCACTCTACCAACTGAGCTGTATCCCCAGCCCTCAACCTTCTAATTTTTACAAAATTAAAAAATATCTGGCATTTTCCCAGTAGGTGCACACTTAATGTATGTTTTCTGATGTTGTTACGTACATTATTCCACAAATATCACCCACATCAATGTGATCAGTAGAGTTCATATCTATGTCTTTGCAGTTTGTTTCTTGTCTGGTTCTCTCAGTTGCTTAGAGATAGGTAAAATCTCCAACTGTGATTGCACAATCTTCTCTTTTTCCTTTTAATTCTGTCAATTTTTTGCTTCATGTACCTGCAGCTCTATTGTTGGGTGGAAACATGATTATGATTGTTGTTTTCCTCTTGACTTTGTTATTACAGAAGTGTTCCTTTCTACCTCTAGTAACATTTTGTTTTGAAATTCATTTTGTCTGGTATCACATAATCACTCCAACTTTCTTAGGCTGACTATTTGCTTTGTATCTCTTTTCCCATCCATTTACTCTCATTTTGTCTATATCTGATGTGAGTCTCTTGTAGATGCCATTTAGTCGTCGTTTTTCATCCTTTAATTTCTGTCTTGTGTGTGTGTGTGGCGGGGGTGGGTGGGTGGTGGTGTATGTGTTTGTTTGTTACTGGGGATTGAGCCCAGGAGTGCTGAGCTATACCTTCTGCCCTTTTTAGAGACAGGGTCTCACTCACTAAGTTGCCCAGACCAGCCTCCAACTTTGAGTCTTTCTGTTTCAGTCTCCTGAATAGTTGAGATTATAGGCATGTACCTGGCTTGTTTTTGTTTTTTCAGTGTTGAATCTATAATATTTAATGTAATTATTAATATGGTTGGATTTGAATCTACTTTAAAAAAAGAAGTAGTATTGATATAATTTATATACCATAAGATACACCTTCAAATGTGTGATAATTCAGTGGTTTTTATTGTATTCATAGACTGGTGCAACCATCACCACTACTTTAGATCATTCTCATTGGTCCCAAATGAAACGCAACACCCATTTGCACTCTCCCACCAAATTCCCACCAAATTCCAGCCCTAAGCACCACTTCTTTCTGTCTTTAGAGATTTACCTGTTCTTAATATGTCACATAAATGAAATCCTATAACACATGGCCTTTATATTCATTCACTTTGCATAGTGGTTTCCGGGTTCATCTGTGTTGTAGCATTATCAATATTCCATTTCTTTTTATGGATGAATTCCAGTCCATTTTATATAGTTGTACCATATCTTCCCTACTCCTCAGTTGAGGGACATTTAGGTAGTTTCCATTTTTTGAATTTTATGGATAATGGGTCTATGAATATGTGTGTACAGGACATATATTTTCAGTTCTCTAGCAGTGGAATTCTGGGTCATTTGGTAATTTCATGTAACCTTTTAAGGAATTGCCCAACTCTTTTTCCAAAGTGACATTCCACTAGCAGTGTACGAGCTTCCAGTTTCTCTACACCCTCAGCAATACTTGCTATTATCTTTCTTTTTTATTACAACCACTTTAGTGGGTGTGAAGTATGGTATCTCATTTTGGGTTGTTTTTGTTTGTTTGTTTGTTTTGTGCTGGGAATGGAACCCAGGGTCTCATACATGCTAGACAAGCATTCTACCACTGAGCTGTACCCCCCCGCTCTTTATTTTGATTTGCATTTCTCTCATAACTAATGACATTGAGCATATTTTTAGTGGCCAGTTCTGAAACTTCTTTTGGGAAATATCTCATTTAAATCCTTTAGTCATTTAAAAAACTTGTGTTTTTGTATTGTTGAATAAGAATTTTTAAAAAATATATTCTGGTTACAGCTCTCTTATCACATAAATGATTTACAAGTATTTTCTAACTTTCTTTTGAGTGGTTTATTCACTTTTTTGATAGTGTTATTCAAAAATCAAAATTTTTAATTTTGATGAATCCAGTTTATCTGATTCTTTTCTTGTCACTTGTGTTTCTGGTGTCATATGTAAGAAAGTATTGCATAATYCAGGGTCATAAATATGTATTCCTGGTTTCTCTTAAGACTGCTATAGTTTTGCTCTTTTATTTATGTCTGTGATCCATTTTTAGTGAATTTCCTTATGTGGAATGGTGTGGGGGACGTTTGCATGTGGATATCCCATTGTCATTTTGTGTGTTATTATTATGTGTTGAAAAGTCTATTCTTTCGTTGGTCTTGCTGCTTTTGTTGAAAATCAATTGAATGTAAGTGTGAGGGATTATTTCTGGGCCTTGAGTTTTATTCCACTCTTCCACTCTTATGCCAATACCACACTGTCTTGATGACTATAGCTTGTGTAATTGTTGAAACTGGGAAGTGAGGGTTCCCTATCTTTGCATCCCCCTCCTTTTAAAGTTTTCTTGGAGCTTCTGAGTCCCTTATACTTCCATATGACTTTTAGAATCAGATTAATATTTTCGGCAAAAAAAGCCTACTTGGATTCTGATGGGAATTGTATTGAAGTTGTAGACCAGTTTGGGAAATATTGTTATCTTCACAATATAAATCTTTTGATCCATGAACATGGGATGTTTTCCCCTTTATTTGGATCTTCTTAAATTTATTTTAGCAATGTGCTGTGCTCTCCAGTGTATGAGTTTCACATCTCTTTTGTTAAATGTGTTCACGTTTACCCTTTCTGATGCTATTGTAAGTGGAATTATTTTCTTTTCATTTATGGAGTGCTTGTTGCTAGTCTGTAGAAATACAATTGATTTATTTTATGTCGATCTTGTGTACTCTGCAAACTTGATGAACTCATTTATTAGTTCTAGTGGATTTTTGTASACTCCTTAGGATTTTTTGTATACTAGAATCCTGTCTTTTGCAAACGGACATAGTTTGACCTCTCCCTTTATGTTATATGTGCCTTCATTTATTTTTCTTGCCTGATTCACCTGCCAAGAGCCTCTCCAGTAGAAAACTGAATAGAAGTGATGAGAGAAGACATCTTTGTCTTATTTTTGACTGTAGGGAGAAAGCTTTCAGTCTTTTACCATTAAGTATGGTATTAACTCTGAATCTTTCTTTCCATATGAATTTGGAAAAATTCTTTTGTCAGGTTAAGGAAGAAACTTCTATTTCTAGTTTGCTAGTGATTTTATAATGAAAAGATATTAAGTATTGGCAGATGCCTTTTCTGTGTCTATCAAGGTGTACATATAATTTTTGTTCTTTATTCTATTAATAATGGGTATTGAATTGCTTGATTTTTTTKGGGGGGGGTATGTTGAACCAACCTTGCATTGCATTTCTGGGAGAAATCCCCTTGGTCATGATATAGTCTTTGTTGTTGTTGTTCTTTTTAGATATACATGATAGTAGAAAGTATTTCGACATATCATACTTACATGGAATACAACTTATTCTAATTAGGATCCCATTCTTGGGGTTGTACATGATGTGGCGTTTCACTGGTTCTGTAGTCTTTTTTTTTTTTTAATATCTATTCTTTAGTTGTGCATAATACCTTTATTTTGTTTATTTTTATGTGGTGCTGAGGATTGAACCCAGGGCCTCGCACGTGCTAGGCGAGCCGTCTACCGCTGAGCCACAACCCCAGCCCTGTAGTCTTTTTTAATATGTTCTTAAATATTTGGGAAATATTGTTATCACAGGTTTATAAGTGTTCTTTCTAAAGGATTGACCCTTATATCTGTTTTTGTCTCTAATAACAATTTTTTTCTTCAAAAGTTTATTTACATTAGTGCAGGCACTCTAGTTCTCTTTTGATTACTATTTGCATGATATATTTTTTTCATCCCCTGACTTTTAATTTGTATCTTATCCTTTTGTCTATTTTGTTGTTATTCTATTTTGCTGCTTTTTTCTTTTTGTTGGTACTAGGAATTGAACCCACCTATTGAGCTACATCCCCAGCCCTTTATATTTCATCTTAAGGTAGGATATTGCTAAATTACCCACAGTGGACTTAAACTTGGTATATTCCTCCTTCAGCCTCTTCAGTAGCTGGGAATACAGGCGCGTGTCACTATGCTACCATGCTTTGCTTGTTCCTGTGTTTTTCTGTTTGTTTAATATGTTTAGGATTCCATTTTAATTTTCCTATTAGGTTTTTCAGTATCTTTGTGGATTTCTTTTTTTGTACTACTGAAGATTAAACTCAAGAGTGCTCTACCACTGAGTCATAGCCCCAGACCCTATTATTTTGAGGTGGGGTCTCCCTAAGGCTGGCCTTGAATTTGTGATTTTCCTGCCTCCACTTCCTGAGGAGCAGGCATTATAGGTGTGTGCCACCATGCCTGGTTGGAATTTTAAAATAGAAAATAGAACAATATATATTCCAAATTATTCACTTTACAGCTGATAATAGTCCATTTTTAGTTGATAATGTGTTATTTCACATAAAATACAGAAAACTTACAACCTCATAGATCCGTATCACTCTCCATCTTTTAAATTATACATGTTACATGTGATACATGTACATGTCATCAACTCCAGAAAAGAATGTTATTAATTAAGTGGTAAACACTTATATGGCTTATAAATTTAGAGGAGAAAAAATGTTAAAGTCATCCTTTTGCATTTATTCAGGTATTTACAGTTTCTGTGCTTTTTCATTCTTTTCTGAAGATTAGAGTTTCCATGTAGCATTAGCCTGAGGAGGTTCATTTGGCATTTTTGTACGGTAGGTGTGCTGGTGGTGAATTTTCTTAGTATTCTTTTTTTCTGAAAACATTCCCATTTTCACTTTCATTCTTGAGTGATATTTACCCTGCGGGTAGAATTTTGTGTTTACAATTTTTCTTTTAGCATTTTAAAGGTGATCCACTTAAACTCTCCTCTGGCTTCCAGTTTCTGATGAAAAGTTACCCATCAATCTGATTGTTCTGTAAGGGATAGGTCATGTGTGAGTCAGCTTTCGGTTATTATAACAAATACCTGAGATAATCAACTTAAAAAAGAGGAAAGGTTTATTTTGGTTCACAGTTTTGCAGTTTCAGTCCATGACAGATTGGTCGCGTTGTTTTGGGCCTGTGGCAGCACAGTATGCGCAGTACATCATAGAGGGAGTGCACAGAAGAGGAGGACATTCATCTCCTGGAGGGAAAGAAGAGAGGGTGTGGGGAAGAGACTGGAATCCCCCAATCCTCTCTGAGGCCATGCCCCCAGTGACCTAAGACCTCCAACCAGGCTCCACCTCCTGAGTGTCCCACCACCTCTTAGTAGTCATGCTAGAGGGCAAGCTTCTAAACCCTGGGGGACATTCCAGATCCAGACTCTGGCAGGGTGGGTTTCTCTTGCCGCTCTCCAGGTTGTCTTTGACTGTCAACCCTGGCTGCGACGCGCCTTAGTGGACTTCTTGCATTGACACTCTTTGGCAGTCATTTAATGTCTTAAGTCTGCAAATATCTGTTGCCACCAGCTATTAACACTCAAGATTTTTTTCCTTGCCATCAAACAGACCTCAGATTCTGTTGCTTTGTTTTAATTATATCCAGTCAGGTCTTAGGTCCCTTCAGTGAATCTCTTATTTCCAAAATTGTCAATTTCAGTTCTGCAGTTTCCATGTAKTTCTTTTCAATTGTATGTTTGTCTGCTTGCCCTTTTTGTCTCTGGTAAAATTTCCAGACATTGAAAATGAGTTTTGATTTACTCATTTGAGATAGGTATGGCATCCTTAATAGAATCTTCATCTGCTCCAGCATCAGCTTCATCTTGGGGTAATGCAGTTGGTTTTCTTTGCTTTCTTGAATGTTGTGCTTCTTCTTGGTTTTTGTCTGTCAAGTGATTTGGGTTGTGTGCTGTACATTGTGGAGGTGAGGTTGTGCAGGGTCAGAGTGGCCTTGTTTTGCTTCACTGAGGGATGTTTCCTTTCCATGGCAGGTGTTGCCCTGGTGGGACTTGAGCTCAATTTTTGTTTCCCACCATGGGCTCTCTTCAGATAGGGCTGCGTTGGGCCTGTTCTGTGTGGGGGTGACTTGGGGCTACTTAGAGCTACTTAGAGGTATGAATGGGCAGATGGAGGTCATTGATCCCCCTTTCTCCTCTCTTCTGTGTGGTGAGTTCCTAGGATTCTCTTCCCTGCTTTCTGAGATCAGAAGGACTCACTGCTTCCCCATGCATGCTGGGCCCTCCCTACTGTGTGCACCAGGAAGACTGTGCCCAGAACCATGTAGAAGTGCAGGGATGAGGTCTCATTGCTGTAGCTCCAGTTCCTTGCTTCCAAGCCAGCCTCTCTTTGCAACTCCATCCACTCTCCACACTTGCTTCTTACACAACACACCTGCAGTGCGCCCCATGCCTCCAGGTGTTCTAGTGGTTTTCCAGGGGCCTGTCATTGGACCCGACCCACCTGAGCACCCCAGTCACATTGTTATGTCTAAAAGCATAACTCTCAAGCCTGAGTTTTACATCCTGGACCGCCATCAACCATGAAAATCCCTAGCTCCCTCCCCATTCAAAACTGTTGACAAACATTCCATTAACAAATGATGAGTTAAAACTAATGGCATCATTAAACTCTGCAAGTGACTCCCAGTGGGTGACCTCTGTCTGTCCCTGCTGTGGCTGCCTCTTTTGGGGCCGGTTCTACCCCTTCCCACAAATCCTTGTGGACAGGCCCCCAGCTGCAGCATGTGGGATTGATAGGGTTGATAGGCAGGGTTGATTGAGCCCTGATCTTGGCTCCTGTGCTTCTGGTGGTGGCGGCGGGTGCTGGATCCCAACAGGCTGTCTCAAACGTCTCATCTCTGGGCTCCAGCTCCCTTTTCAACCCCTGTCCCAGGGGGAAGTGCCTGGAGCCCCTCACTTGCGTGCTTTGCCTGTGTACTGGGCCTCAGGAGAATTCCCAGCCATCTCTGGGAGGTGAAGCAGGCAGGGTGGGCTGAAAGGTGGACAGAAATGCTGTGCTGTGGTGGTGCCATATGAGGGAGCTGTGGATAGACCGGATGCCTGAGGGCTGGGGGCGGGGCCGGGCGGGGCCGGGCGGGGAGGGTGTCAAGGGGCCTCCATTCAGCGGACTCAGGGGTTTTCCAAGTTGAGGTTGGAGCTGGATGGTGCTTCAGGCGGAGGGGACTGCGGAAGCAAAAGCCAGGAGGTTAGAAGGGGTAGAGGACCATCATGCTGAGCTAAAGCCGGTTGCTCTGCAGTTTATTGGAGGTTATGTGGCAAAGGAGCCCCCAGCGTWGGTCCCTAGGCTCTTGGAAGGGATGCTGAGCCTCCTGTCCAGGAGCGGAGGGGCTGGGCCCCAGGGCTGCGGGGTTCTAGTGAGGCTCCGCCTTCTGAGGGGGTCGGGGCGCAGCGGCTGGAGGCTTCAGGGAGCCTGTGAGAGAGGCCCTGGGGGTTGGGGCTTTCCACGGGCTTTCCCAGCCGCCTTGCAGGTGTGCAACCTCCCCTCCCCTGCTCTGTCTTCTGGGGTTTCCAGGGGCCACGTTGGAGGTGCTGGGGGGCTCAGGTGGGTCAGGGACCCAGTTCTCAGCGGAGCTCTGGGGTGGGGTTGGAGGCAGCACCTGTCAGCCAGGGGTGGGGATAGCAAGCCGCCTGGGCAAGTGCCACTGCTTTCTGGGCCTCAGTTTCCTCTCCTGAAAACTGAAGAGTCCCTCCAGGAGTACAGTCCCCGGGAGAAATGGGTCTGGAGTCTTCGTGCTAGCAGCCAGGGGCAGAGTGGCTGGGAGAAGGAACCCCAGACCCTGGCCACAGCCCCCCTCCTCCCTGTCCAGGCACAGAGTTCGAGTACACGGACTCGGAGAGTGAGGTCAAGGTGCGCAAGCAGTCGCCTGCCGGGCTGCTGCGGCCCAAGAAGGGGCTGGGGGAGCCGGGCCCTTCCCTGGCTGTGCCCCTGGCTGTGCCCCCGCCCAGCGCCCGAGGCCCAGGCCCCACCAGCCCGGACAAGGCCAAGCTGGCAGCGGAGAAGGGGCGCAAGGCGCGTAAGCTACGGGGCCCCAAGGAGCCTGGCTTCGAAGCTGGGCCAGAGGCCAGCGACGACGACCTGTGGACCCGGCGCCGCAGCGAGCGCATCTTCCTGCACGACGCCTCGGCCGCAGCTCCTGYGCCCAGCAACGCAGCGCCCGCCCCCAAGCCCAGCCGTGGTGGCAAGGGCGGCTCCGCAGTGAGCCCGCGCAAGGACACCGGCCGTGCCAAGGACAGGAAGGACCCCAGGAAGGTAGGGGCTCAGCACAGGTGTGGGGCCTTGGGAAGGAGGCTGGGGTCCCCTAGTCTTGGGAACTGGCTCTGAGTTAGCCTGTGCTGATGAAAGCCCTGGTTTGCTGCCCTTCCTTACAGAGCCCTTCATCTCTGTCCCATCTCAGGATGACCCTTAAAAATATGGATAAATACCCGAAGCCCCATATTGTTGGCTTTTCACCATGATAGCAAAAATACCTGAGATAGATAGCTTATAAAGAGAAAGGTGTCCTTTGGCTCTCAGTTTGGGGAGTTCTGAGCCATGAGGGATTGGCCCCAGTGTTCTGAGCCTGTGGTGAGCCCCACATCATGGCAGGAGCCTGTGGTGAAGCAAAACCTGCTCACCCAGCCAGCCACGGGTGAGGGAGGGCAAGGAAGTCCCCCAATGACCCATTGGCCCTACTTCCTAAAGTCCTACCACCTCCCAATAGCCCAGCCTGGGAATCAAGCATCCAGCCTTCAGAGACTCTTGTCCCATCATAGCAGACCCCAGGGAAGATATCCAAAAAACCCATTGGTGATCTGGTGCCAGACCTGCTCCTTTATGAATGTATTTAATAAGGGGGTGTGGCATCGGGTCTAGTAAGGACTTTTCAGGGTGCCTATAGTAACTGTCATGGGCTGGGGACCCTGGTGGTTTCTGTTGGTGGCACTGGCACTAGCACTGCCAACATCATGGTGGTTTGTGGCCTCCAGTCTTCACCTGCAGGAAAACCTCATTTCTTCAGAGGTAAAAACGTGAGACAGAGATGGGATTTGTGTGTGTGTGTAGATTGAACCCCTGGCTTCATTCATGCTAAGCAAGCACTCTATCACTGAGCTACATTTGCAGCTCATACTTTCTTGAATTGTCTCCATGGATACTCTAAATTAAGAAAACTTGCCTTTCAAGAACACCAGGATAGGGGACATGTTCTCCTTTTCCATTGGCTGCTAGGAAGTGCATGGTCAGTGGCTCCCTGCTTAAATAATTGTGTTCAGGTTTGATGGCCAGCTCTCTACAGTATTCAATACCTTTATTCTACCTTGAGTCCCTGATGGAGGATGTGCACTCAAGTAGCAATGACCTTTTAGGAAAAAATGATGAAAAGGGATTACACTCAGAAATTTATTTTATGAGTGCATGGTAGTGCACTCCTTAATCCCTAGGTCTTGGGAGGTTGCGGCAGGAGGATTGCCAAGTTCAAGACTGCCCTTGGCAATTTAGTGAGATCCTGTCTTGAAATAAAAGATACGAGGGGCTGGTGGGGAGAAGGGGCTGTGTTTGAGCATCACCCACAGGCCTCTGGTGTTTGTGCTCACCTCTTTTCTCCTCCGAGCTATCTCATGTTTTTCAGGGCCTTAGAGAAAAAGTGCAGGGTGAATAATAATATTAATACCAGGTAACCCAAGATAGGCCCAGACACATTCGAACTACTTACCATGCAGATAGTCACACTCCCTTTATCTGCGGGGGACTCGTTCCCAGACCCCTAGTGAAGGCCTGAAACTACAGATGGTCCTGACCTCTGTGCTGCCATACCACCACTGTTTTTTGTTGTTGTTGTTTTCTAAAGAGAGAGAGAGAAAGAGAGAATTTTTTAATATTTATTTTTTAGTTTTTGGCAGACACAACATCTTTGTTGGTATGTGGTGCTGAGGATCGAACCCGGGCTGCACGCATGCCAGGCGAGCGCGCTACAGCTTGAGCCACATCCCCAGCCCCATACCACCACTGTTGTCCTGAGGACTGAGATGGCTGCTGAGTGGCCCAGGGCAGGTGGACATACAGCATGGACATGTGGACAGAGGACCACCCGAGTCCTGGGGGACATGGGGCAGGATACCTCAGGGCCTCACAAGCTTTGGTCATGTTACTCAGTGCGGCAGGTAGTTTGAGGCTTATGAATTGTTTATTCCTGAAACTTGGCATCTAGCATWTGCAGACTGTGGTTGACCGTAGGTTACGGAAACCACAGGAAGTAAGTGCAGGTAAGTGGGGATGGCTGTGTTTCATTTATTGAGTGCTCCACCATGTGAAGTAGGTTCCTCATGTTAACCACACTTCCCAGGTGGCCCACAAGATGGCAGGTACCTGCTGGGACCGTGGCCACACTCCCCAGAGCTAAGCTGTCCACACTGGGTATTTCTTGCCAGGGCCTGGGCCTGATCACCAGTCCACACTGCCCCTTCGGCCTCTCCCAGGATGGCACCTTCTGTTGGAGGCCCTGGAGTCCCATTCCTAGCATCTGCATAGCTGGGGCTGTTGGGGTAGAGGATGCCAGGGTCAGCCAGGCCCAGCCTTTTGGTGGTGGAGCAAGAGACCAGGTAAATTGTCAGTAGAAGGAGACTCTACCCAGCAGCCACCCAGGAATCACATGGTTGGCATTGCTTTGAGATCTGCTTTTGTGTCCTATCTCTTATTTAAACTTTTTAAAAAAWTTTTTTGTAGTTGTAGATGGACACAATACCTTTATTCTTATTTTCATGTGGTGCTGAGGATCAAACCCAGTGCCTTCCACATGTGAGGCGAGCATGCTACCACTGAGCCCTTGCTAAATAGCTGAGTCTAGCTTTGAACTTGTGATCCTCCAGCCTCAGCCCCCTGAACTGCAGGGATTACAGGTGTGCACCATGGTGTCTGGCTGTTGCTGACACTTTGCTAACATACATGGGGCTGCCTGGAAGAGCTCTGTACGAAGCCCATGTCTGAGTCCCTCTGTGGACCAGGCCCAGGAGTGGGACCTGCAGGTCCAGCCTATGGATTCTGACCCACTCTCCCTGAGGTACAGCCTCCTGAGTGCTGGGATTACAGGCATGTGCGACCTCACTGAGTTTAACCTTATGGACTTTTATGTTACTTTGATTTTTTTATCAATATTTCTAGCTGGCTGTGGGTCATGGCACTGTCTGGGTGTCCGTCCCATGGTGACATCTCCTCCCGCCTTCACCTTGCTGGCTGCTGGTGATTTAGTAGCTGATGGACTTTTGCCACCATAATTACCGAAGCAAAGGATGTCTCCATTTGGTGTCAGAACCTCTGTCATTTTGGGAGCTATTTTCTTATTAAAATAAAAGGGATTGGGGGTTCCCAGAAATGATTTTACTGATCAAAGGGAAAAAAAAGTTATTGGTTTTATCTGTTAATGACGGTAATCAGGAAGAAAAGGAAGAAAGGAAATATCCACTGAGACACCCCCCCCCCCACCCGGCCATGAACAGCTGCAAAGCCATGTGCTGTAAGATAAGGTGTCCACGCCAGAGGAGGAGGCAGCGTGGCTGCGGACATCCTTGTCACCCTGAGAGGCCCTGGGCTTTCAGGAATATGAATGGGATTACAATGTGCATCAGAAACAAGAAAATACAGTGTGTAGGTGCGAATGTCCAAGAGGAGGACCAGGACAGTTCCCTTTTTGTCCTTTTAGTGCTCTTTGCTTTGAATTTTAGGTTTGATGTGGATGTTGTGACGGTAGTATCTCAGTAACATCTGCCCACTGTTACCTTTTTCTGTCTGAATTTTCAGCGACCTAACAATGCAGCCTTGGCCATTTGGTTTTCAACAGGTCTCTTGTGGTTTACTGTACTTACTTATCTTTTGTGGTGCAGGGGGTGGAATCAGGGCCTGGTGCATGCTAGGGGAGCACTGACCCACACCCTTAGCCCGACACGTCCCTTAAGAAGCATGGAGGCCCGCCCCCACTCCTACCACCCGTAGCCTCTGGCTCATGCCTGCTGTAGATCTCGCCCAGCATGGGCTTTGCTGGTTTTGGCTCCTGGTCRGAGCACAATGTGACATTAGCAGCTGGAACAGAGGCTGTCACTGTGTTTGGAGGCACCAGTTTTGGTGACAGGCCACTGGTCATCCAGGTTGTTTCCGGGTCTTTGCTTGGATCAGCAAAGCCGCACACGATGTCTGCTTCAGAAGGGTAGGGCCAGTTCCAGTTCAGCCTCATCAGCGTAGGGAGGAGGGCGAGTTCCTCCAGGCTGGGCACCATGAGGTGCCAGGAGGGCACACCCCTCACTATGGGGACTCCGTGGAAGTGACTTGGGTGGCATTGTGGAAGTGACTTGGGTGGCAGCTAAGTGGCTTTAAATGCCTTTCCAGGAATAGGTACTCCAGATCTAGCTGGTCTGTAAGCTAGGGTCTTTTCTCTCTTTTTAAATTCATTTTTGGCATTATTTGAAAAAGTGACAGAGTAAGCCACCTACAGGTGTGTGGTTGGAGGGGGCGGAGTGAGTGCCAGCCCCCACTCCGTGGCACACCCGCAGCTGTTATTCAGCAGAAACGGGGCTCCCGCCCTGCGCCCTAGCTGTGCACAGGAAGAGTTCCAAAGCAGGGCTTTGGTCACTCCCAGCTGTGTTTCAAACACCATGTGGGCTAATGTGTCCGTGTGGCCTTCTTGTCTGCCTGGTTGTATGTGCTCGTCCCTCCAGAACGCGCCTTGTGTGCTGTCACCAGTAGCGCTGCTGGAGAGGAGTCACTTGCCCATATGCAAGTCAGGTTGTCCTCTTGTTTGGGGGCAGCACGGAGTGTGCGATAGTGACGGGGTAGCCGAGATTACAAACAGAAATGCTGTCAGAGCACAAGGTGTTCTGATCTTCTGGGTGTGGCACTTGGGGTCGGGGGACCTGGAAGGGCTGAGCCAGGGGAGAGCAGCATGGGGCCCTGTGTAACCACCCAGTGGCCTGGGCTCTCCCTCCCCCCTGAGCATCCTGCTTGTTCCTTCCTCCTCCAGAAGAAGAAAGGGAAAGAGACTGGGTCAGGAGCTGCACTGCCACCACCCCGTGTCCCCGCCCTGCCCTCCGAGGCCAGGGCCCCTCATGCTGGGCCCCTGGCGACTGCCAAGAGGAGCAAGGCCAAAGCCAAAGGCAAGGAGGTGAAGAAGGAGGTGAGCCTTCCCAGAGGGTGCACACAGAGGATCAGGCCTGGGCCAGTCCGCAGTGTGGGGGCAGCACTGGAGCCCACTGCGTGGCCCTCTGTGCTCCTGCAGCAGGGGTTGGTACCGAGACCCAGGGTCTTCCATGTGCTACTCTGTGTTTACTCTAACTGCAGCCAAGGCTCAGCAAGCAAGATGACCAGCTGTGGTCCCCATGCTCTTAGCAGGGTCAGGAGACACCTGGCCACCACCATGAGGCTRTCTGGCAACAGGAGCACCTGCTCAGTGCCAGGTCCCCTCTGGGATCCACAGGCTTCACGCGGTTGACAGGGGATGTGCCTGGGTGTGCCCCTGTACCTGTTAGCTGCTGCCCAGGCTGTTTCCTCAAGCCTTTGCATGTGGCTGGAGATGCCCCCTCAGTCTCTCTAAGGAGGAAACCATGGTGTCTGCTGGGCGTTGGGTGTCAGAGTGGTACTGAGTGCTGAGTACTAAGTATCATGCTGAGTGTGCACAGGCAGTGGACAGTTGGTTGCAACCCATTTCATCTTCCCTCTGGCCTTCAGGTGTGCCCGGTCCCTTGCCATTGAGCACATGGCAGATGCCACCACAGCCTGTCACCCAGGTTTCCAGAGAGGACCCCAGCAGGGCAAGAACCCTGTGCTGTGTTCTAAGCTGTTGGTCTGCTGTGTTCCACCCACAGAACCGGGGGAAGGGGGGTGCTGTGAGCAAGCTGATGGAGAGCATGGCGGCTGAGGAGGACTTTGAACCCAACCAGGACTCAAGCTTCTCAGAGGATGAGCACCTGCCACGAGGCGGGGCTGTGGAGCGGCCTCTTACCCCAGGTGGGTGACTGTGAGGCTGTGYGTGTTGGGAGGAGCTGCAGGGGTTCCTGAGGATGTTAGATTTAAGTCCTGGCCTGACACATAGCTGGAAAAAGCATGTGCAAAGCTCCTGAGGCACTTGAGGCAAATAGAAAGGAGGCCTACTCAGCTCTGGCTTAGTAYGCTTGGGTATGTGGGGAGCAGCCTGGGGACTTTGGAGGAGGTGKGAGCAGATCACCCACAGCCTCTGAGACCTTGGCCAGGGGTATGGTGCTCATCCCAAGGAGCACAACTGTCCCAGGGTATGGGAGAGCAGTGTGGTCAGGGTATTGAAGTGAGCCCCCCGCCTGCTGTGTTGAGCATCCTGCAGGTCCCAGGGAGGCAGGAGACTGTAAACATCTAAGTAGTRCAGGTAGGACCTGGGCCCCTTGGGGCAACAGTGGGGAGGCAGGCAAGTTTGAGTGTTAAAAGGGAGGGTGGAGGGTGGTGGGAATGGGGCCTGTGACCTGGAGAGATTAGGGCTAGTGATGGGAACACCCTGAGGAAGTCATGTCCATCAGGCACAGAGACCCTGGTCCGAGCTCAGAGGAGGGATCCCAGATACAAACTGTGGGGAGCGAGGACAGGGCTGTTCCGAGGGGTGTGCTCGTTCCTGCTGCTCTGGAACAGCCAGCTGCGTGACCACTCTTGGGCTGCGGTCTGCAGGGGGTGGGGGGCTGTGTGATCAGTGCAGTGGGCTAGCCCCCCGTGATGAAACGACGGGGCGTCAAGGGTCTGGGTCGTGCACTCAGCTCTGGGTCATGCACTGTGCTGGACCGTGGCTTGGTGGGAGCAGTGGCCCCYGAGATGCAGCCAGAGGTTTGCTAAGGCCAGAGGGAGCAGGAGGCCTCTCAGGCCTAGGGACAGGCATGCCACCCCTTCTGCCTTTGGCCAAATCAAGTGACACAGCCACCCAGTCTCAAGGAGTGGGACGTGCCCTCTGCCCAGGAGGTGGCAGGTGCATGGAGAAATGGGCCCTTTGTACCTGAACCCCAGAACTGTCTAGGTCTTTTTGTTTTGTTTTGGTACCAGGAATTGAACCCAGGGCRCCTAGCCAGTGAGCCACATCCCTAGCCCTTTTCATATTTTATTTAGAGATGGGGTCTTGCTGAGTTGCATAGGCCTGGCTAAGTTGCCGAGGCTGGTTTTGAACTTAATCCTGCCTCAGCCTCTTGAGCCACTGGGATTGCAGGCATGCACCACATCCCACTGTCGGTCTTTTTGACATATGCTAATGACAGGGGACCAGGTAAAAGGTCCCCACCCAGAAGGAAGAGCAGGAAGAAGACAACTAAGGAGAGTTTGGGTGTATGACCTTAAGGGGGCTCCTGAGAAGGACTGGGGCAGGGGGCTGACGGCTCAGCTGGAACATTTTCTGTGTCCACCAGAAAACCTGTCCCAGATAGGAAACTGGACAAAGCCCCAGCTGTCTGGCTGAAGCAGCAGCACTGGACGGCAGGATAGAGGGGGGCTGCTGAATTGGGGAGGTGCTGACGGCACAGAGCTTGGCGAGGTGCACACCCCCTGCCCCTCCCCCACCCAGGTGTGCACTCAGCAYAAGCCAGTTGGTACAGGCCACATGTACTCAGGTACACCCAGTGTGTACCCTGCAGACTCACCTGGCAGGGCCTCTGTTCCTAGAGGTGACTTGGGGGCCATTAGGTAGACCTGGGGAGGAGGCTGGGTCTCCCCTAYGCCTCCCGCTCCAGCCCAGCCTTGCTGCCCACCCCTGCAGCCCCTCGMTCCTGTATCATCGACAAGGATGAGCTGAAGGACGGCCTGCGTGTTCTCATCCCCATGGACGACAAGCTGCTATACGCCGGGCATGTGCAGACAGTGCACTCTCCGGACATGTGAGTCCTGCCGGGCTCCTTGCTGTGCCTCCCTGGGCAGATGGCTTCTCCTTTCTGGACTGTGCCTTCCCTCCACAGAAGGGGGAAGGGACATGAGGGCTCTGAAGACGCCGCCAGGCCACCACATGTGGAAGGTGTGCCCGGGTGGGCCCTGCCAGGGAGGGGGCTCCGGCTGGGCATGGCCATGCCGCAGTGGCGAGGGGCTCACAGGAAGGCGCCAGAGTGTGTGCTGGYCTCTCTCGGGGTCGCATGCTCAGCAGCCCCTCGCTCCATGGATGAGGAGGCTYGGCCAGGAGGGGACATAACAAGTCAGTCAAACCGCCAAGTCCTGGTGCTGTGTCCTGGCRGGCTAGTGCTGTATCGGAGCTGGTGTGGGGCTGGCTCAGGGTGTGTGGCCTCTGCCACCTCACACACGTTTGCCCTGCTCCCAGATATCGCGTGGTGGTGGAGGGCGAGCGCGGGAACCGGCCCCACATCTACTGCCTGGAGCAGCTGCTGCAGGAGGCGGTGAGCTGGGGCGGGAGCGGGAGGCTGGGCTCCAGAGGCCTAGGGAAGGGTCACAGGTTGCAGCCACATCTCGGTTCCTGGTCACCTCCTGGTGCTCATCCTGTGCTCTCTCAGATCATAGACGTGAGGCCGGCCTCCACTCGCTTCTTGCCACAAGGGACCAGGATCGCAGCCTACTGGAGCCAGCAGTACCGCTGCCTGTACCCTGGCACTGTTGTCCGAGGTGAGAGGCCCCTTTCGGCTGCTCCCCCGTCTCCTAACAGGCTGCTGTGGATTTAGTTGGTCACCAAAACCCGACTGTATTGGACTTAATTGCAGAGATTTTTGTTGGCTCACATGACTGACAAGCACAGGGCTTTCAATGGTGTCCCCAGCAAAGGCGGGATGTTGGCCACAGAAGAGAGGAGGAAGAGGGGCAGACATACAATAGGCACGTCTGGAGGTGCAGACAGGGACATAGGCAGATAGAGGAGGTGACACTCAGGGGATGTTGGACAGACCAAGTCAAAGTCCTACGTGCCTGATGCGCTGACCCCTCGGCTCCCTGACCTTTGTGACCAAGGGAGAAGCAGGGCCGGGCAGCAAAACTGCAGGTGTGAGGTCCAGTCTGATCGCAGGTTTTGCACTGGAAGATTTATTTTTCCCACTTGTTATCATTGAGCATCAAAACCCTGGAAGTCCTGTTACTATGGGAAGAGTTTGTCTTGGTTTCCAATCTCTGTGCTCTTGACCTCTGGTACCCTGAGGGCTGGCTGCCTTCCAGGGTCACCTTATGGTGCTGCTTTGAGTCTTGGGCCTTCCCCTGGCCAGTGTTCTGGGGCTCCTTTGGGCTTCTGTATGGCATCCAACATCTTTCTAGGCTCATACCCTCATTTTAGTAGAGGATGTCGGTAATTTTCTGAGAGAGTCCCTAGAAAACGAGTTTTTCAAGCTGGGGACAGTGGTGCACGCCTGTAATCCCAGTGGCTTAGGAGGCTGAGGCAGGAGGATCATGAGTTCAAAGGCAGCCTCAGCAACWTAGCAAGAGTMTAAGCAACTTAGCAAGACCCTGTCTCAAAAAAAAAAWAWAWAAATAAAAAAGGGCTAGGGACAGTGGCTCTGTGGTTAAGCACCCCTGGKTTCAGTCCCCAATATTAAAAAGAAAAAGAAGCAAACAAGTTTCTCAGATTCTTGCAAGCCTGCAGTCTCTTTATCTTTGTTCTTTACAGTTGAGTTGGGTGTAAGTTCTAGATCAGAAATATCTCCTCTCACCACTTCAAAGTCATTGTTTGATTTTTATTCAGCTTCTAATGGTTGAGAAATTAGCTGCCATTATAATCCCCAGGTCTTTGTAGGAGACCTACTTTCCCCCTCTCTGTGGAACTTTCAAGATCTTCTCATTATTCCTGGATCTGGAGCTCTGTGTGGGTTTTCTCTCCCTGTTTCTTTATGCCAGGTATTTGGGGACAGTGGGGCTTTGATTCTGTAGCTCGTCTCTCCAGCCCTGGGAGCTCTTCTGCTCTGTGCCACTTTGATAGTTTCTCCATCTGTGGTCCTTGGAACTTGCAGTGGTCGGGTGGCTCTTGGTGTGTGAATCTCTTCCTCGTTTATTGTCTATTTCTTTCTTTCTTTCGTTTTTTTTTTTTTTGTTGTTCAATTTTACGGGAGATTTCCTCCACATTATCTTCTAAATCCTTTTGTTCTCTTGAATTTGAAATTTTCTGCTACCATTTAAAAAATTTCCAAGAGTTCTTTCTTATTTCCTGAGGTTTCTTAAAAAAAATACATATATTATATATATTTCTGCTGCATCAACACGTTATCTTTTATAAGAAAATTTCTCACGGTGTGTGTCTGGGTTCAGTCTGTAGCTCTCTTTCCCTCGGGGCGCCCCTTCCCCACGCAGGCTCTGTGTCATGGTGCCCTTTTTGGCTTTGGTGATCCTTGGCAAAGAGAGAGGATGAAGAGATCAGAGGCCCTGGCTGAGTGAGGCTTGGTGGTGTGGGGCAGGTGGTTGGTTAGGTCTCTTCCTCCCGGCGAGGCCTGTGTCCTTGGGGATACATATGGCTTAGCATCTGCGTTTGGGAGGGGGCTGGGGTGTCGTCCTTCAGTGGCAGATGTTGAGTTCCCCCCTTGCTTGGAGTGGCCCCCACCCTTCTTGCCTGCGTCCGCATCTTTCAAATCAGAGCTGTGCAGCCTCCAAGCCCATGCTGTTCAGGTGGCCCTCAGCCCGTTCAGGGCCGGGGTCCGGGACCCCGCCTTGGCCTCTCCTCATTGCGGTTGTCTCCTTCAGTCACCTGACAGCAGCAAAGCTGAGCCCCGAGGTGGTTCCCCTGCGTTCATGCCCTCTTCCCTCTCTGTCCTCTTTACTGCTGTGTTGGGGGTCTTGAGAGTGAGCAGGCACAGGTGTGTGTGATCAGCTGCCTTGTGGCACCTGAATTCCAGGACACGCTCTGCTAGAAACGGGGGAGCCCCTGCCCTGACTGACTAGTGCTCACACCCACTTTCACACTACAGTACACCGACTCCCTGTCCCCTTGCTGTGCGTTAATGACCTGGGATCCCTGCATGCTGAACCCCACTGTCCCATCACCATCATGCCCCAGTACAGGGCTCAAGCTCTGGGACCCCCTGAATTGCCCCTCCCCCACAGGGCTACTGGACCTGGAGGACGATGGGGATCTGATCACCGTGGAGTTTGATGATGGAGACACGGGCAGGATCCCGCTCTCACACATTCGCCTCCTGCCACCCGACTATAAGATCCAGTGTGAGTGCCCGGCATGTGAGGTYGTGGTCCGGCTGTCCTGGCTGCGTGCCACTCACAAGCACCCTTGCCTAGCTCCCCGGYAGCACAGACTTCTGTCCATCGGCCTCTAGGTCTCCTCTAGGCTGAGCCTGGACACTGCCTGCCATTTGGACCATTGGAACCATTGGAACCCACAGGGGATAGAAATGGCAGAAGCAGTGGATGGGGACTCCCAGAAGGGGGCTGGGGAGTGGAGAATCTTGGGGTTCCCAGATGAGCCCTGTGGCTTGTGAGGGCAGCCGCAGGCCTGGTTGTCCAGGCCATGGAAGGCTGGTCAGGTATTGTTATTGATGGTTCCAAGCTCCATGTGGGCACCATGGCATTGAATCCTTGCCTTGGCCTTCATGGCCTGGGGTTCAGAGGTTGGTGACTCCTCCGGGTCCCCCCTTTAAGAGGCAGCAGCAAGTCTTGTTCACACTGACTGGCTTCTTGGGGTGGGTGACCTCAGAGGTTCTCAAAGTCAGCGCCTTTGTTCAGCCCCTTGAGCTTTGGTGTGGTCATTTGGGGGCCCCTGCTGAACTACTATTTGCCCGTGCCACCCCCCACTGGACCATGCAGGGGAGCCCAGATTGCATGAGCCACATGGTGTCCCTGCTCCCCACTCTAAACCCTGATCCAGAAAGTCAGAGCAGAGAGCCAGGCCTGAGCCACTGTCTGCCTTGCAGGTGCCGAGCCTTCCCCAGCCCTCCTGGTGCCGAGTGCCAAACGCCGCAGCCGAAAGACCAGCAAAGACACTGGGGAAGGCAAAGAGGGGGCCCCCACAGGGTCAGAGGAGTCGGGAGCCAAGGCGCGAGGGCGTGGGCGGAAGCCCAGCACCAAAGCCAAGGGAGGTATGTTGGCCCAGGCCCAGGGTCGGGTGGGGGCTACTTGGGAGCCAGAACCTGGAGCCTAAGCTTCTGCAGTGACCGGGCATCATCTCTGTGAGAACTCTGTACTGTTGGGCAGAGAATTAGGCAGTGGGTCAAGGAAGGGGAGCTGGTGGGCAGAGACAGAGCCCAGCTTCAGCCTGGTGCATGTCACTCACTCCCAGAGGAGAGGCTTTGGGCTACAAGCCAAGACCATCTGAGGACCACTTAGGGCCAGCACCCCCAGGGTGATGTGCCAGAGCCGCCCACCTGAGGCCCAGGCAGAGATGCAGACCTCCTGACCCAGGAGCCCCTGCTCTCCCACCAGGAAACCCCGCCCAGACTGGCAGCAGGCCTCACTCTGGCCTCCATTTGTCGTCTTCTCTTTTCTAGACAGAGCCAGTGTTCTGGAGGAGGGGGTCTCCACAGATGAGGTCCCCAGTACCCCTTTGGCCTTGGAGCCTATCAGCACCCCAAATTCCAAGAAGAGCCCCCCAGAACCTGTGGACAAGCGGGCCAAGGCCCCCAAGGCTCGCCCGGCACCTCCCCAGCCCAGCCCAGCGCCACCCACCTTCGCCAGCTGCCCAGCTCCTGAGCCCTTTGGAGAGCTGCCAGCCCCTGCTGCAGCCCTGACCCCGGCCCCCCTCATCACAATGCCAATTACCATGCCTGCCACCCGCCCCAAGCCCAAGAAGGCTCGGGCCACGGAGGAGTCGGGTGCCAAGGGTGCTCGGAGGCCAGGGGAGGAGGCTGAGCTGCTCGTCAAACTGGACCATGAGGGGGTTACATCCCCCAAAAGCAAGAAGGCCAAAGAGGCTCTGCTCCTCCGGGAGGACCCAGGGGCTGGAGGCTGGCAGGAGCCCAAGAGCCTGCTGGGCCTGGGTGGCCTGGCCCCGACAGCAGGCAGTAGTGAGCCCAAGATGGCCTGGCCCAAGGCCCTGGAGGGGGACCTTGCCCAGGAGCCTGGGTCAGGGCTGCCACTGGAGGACACTGGGAATCCCAAGAGCCCGGACAAGGCCCAGGCCGAGCAGGATGGGGCTGAGGAGTCGGAGACCAGCAGCAGCGGCAGCAGCAGCAGCAGCAGCAGTAGCAGTAGCAGCAGCAGCAGCAGCAGCGGCTCAGAGACGGAGGGCGAGGAGGACGGCGAGAAGAACGGGGAGGACGGCCGGGGCACAGGGGGCCGGAACTGCAGCGCCTCCAGCTCCAGGGCATCCTCCCCTGCCTCTTCCTCCTCCTCCTCCTCCTCCTCCTCTTCCTCCTCTTCTTCCTCTTCCTCCTCTTCCTCCTCTTCCTCCTCTTCCTCCTCTTCATCTTCCTCCTCCTCTTCATCTTCCTCCTCCTCTTCCTCCTCCTCCTCCTCTTCCTCCTCCTCCTCCTCCTCTTCCTCCACCACAGACGAGGACTCTTCCTGCAGCTCTGATGACGAGGCAGCTCCTGCCCCTGCGGCTGGCCCCTCTGCCCAGCCGGCCCTCCCTGCCAAGGCTCCCAAGCAGGCTGGCAAGGCGCGCTCCTCGGCCCACTCCACGAGCAAGAAGGCGCCCGCTGCACAGCCCCCGGCCCCTCCACCCCAGCCCCCTCAGCCTCTGCAGTCCAAGGCTCAGGTGGGGGCTGGGGCCAAGAGCCGACCCAAAAAGAGAGAGGGTGTCCACCTGCCCACGACCAAGGAGTTGGCTAAGCGGCAGCGCCTGCCATCTGTGGAGAACCGGCCCAAGATCGCCGCCTTCCTGCCTGCCCGGCAGCTCTGGAAGTGGTTCGGGAAGCCCACCCAGGTACCAGGCTGAGGTTCCAGGTCTTTCTCTGGCTACTTCACACCAGGCCCCGCCTTCCCCTCAATTCCTCAGCATCCCCAGGGAGGAGGGTCGGGTGAGGCGAGGCCATATCCCACGTTACAAGGGAGGCAACTGGTTTTCAAGGTTTGTCTGACTCCAATGCCCAGGCCCTTTCCAAGTGGCCCTGCCCTCTAGTTGGTGGGACCAGAGCTCCCTGTGTAGAGAACATGAAGGTCCACACAGGCTGTCCTGCAGGTGCTCAGGACGGGGTCTGCCGCCTCCTGGCTTTCTCTGCTCTCCTCCTGTTTCCAGCACGCTCAGGCTCTCAGCCACCAGTCGGTGATCTCGGTGGGAGGGGCCACTTCCCCTGGCTTGCCACAGAAGTGCAAGGTTGAGTCTCCTTGGCCTTCCATGGACCCTGGAGCTAACCAATGCAGCCCAAAGAGAATGTTCTGGTGGGCCCTGGGCTGTGGGTCCTATGTCTGCCCTGACAGCAGGGCTTGGGTGTCCAGAGGAGCCCTCCCGCCCAGCTTGTGCTGTGGATTATCACACACCATGTACATGTGTGAACGTGTTGCACACACACAATGTGCAATACAGGCACCACACATTTATACCTGTGCATACACATGCACTTCTCAATGGAGGAAATTGTTAGCTATTCTAGAAGCTTCTATGTGAAGGATGGGAATAGCCCTCATGGTCATGAGTCCATCCCACATCCCTGGGAAGAGCCAGTGTGTGAGCTTTCTGTTACTGTGACAAAGTACCTGAGAGGACTCACTTATTCAGGGCTGAGGTCCGTTGTGCTGTGGTTTAGAGGAAGCAGCCCATAATAGGGCAGACCCTTTGCTTTTAGGTCTGAGATGGGAGTGTTGGAGAGCAACTACTCACCTCCTGGCCAGAGAGGGGAAGGGGCTCAAGCCCACAGGCCCCCCCAAGGGCACTCCCAGTTACATAAAGACTTCCCACCTGGGACCACGTCTTCCACACATGGGCCTTTGGGTGCTTCAGAATCTGCCATAGCAGCCAGGCACCTTTGCTTGGCATGTGTGGGAGGGTGTCCTCGTCTGCAGGTATAGCCAGCCCAGGTTTTGTCCCCAGTGTCCATGTCCCTAGACCAGGGTCCTCCAAGGCTGTGTGGAGACGGGCTTTGAAGAGATGCCCCTGCTGAGCCAGTGCCCCGTAAGACTCTGTTCTCATCAGGCGAGTTCAGCAGCTTTGGGGCTGGCAGGGACAGGCTTGGGGTGTCTGGCACACCTCCTCAAAGCCTGGGAAGCTGCTGGCACGTGTGCAGAGTGTTGGCCGCTTACGAGGCCAGAGAGGCTGGGGTGTCCTGAGTCGGCTCTGGAGGTCTGTCTTCACTGCTGCCTTCTGGGGATCTTGGCGTGCAGCCAAGGCCCATCAGAAACCCGCAGGAGTGGACAGCAGCTTCCTCTGCCCCAGGCTGCACCCCACCAGTGATTCTTTAGAATGGGCAGGGTACAGAGCCTGCAGCAGGTGGGGTCTGGACACTTGGGCTGTAGTTCCAGCAAACTTAGTGCCCTAACCTGAGCCTGGCCTTTCCTGATCCCACAGGGGCAGGGTCATCTGACTTTCACTCCTCATGGATTGCTGGCTATAGCTGAAAGGCCTCTCAGCCGGGCCACCACCTGAGGCCAACTTGAATGMGAGATTCTTATAGAATCCTTTCTGAAGGCTTCATGGTCAGCACTCTAGAGCCCTGATCCCTGCAGGTGCTTATCTGAGAGGCACAGAAGGGCCGAGTGAGGGAGGTGCTCTTCCTGCCCCGCCATCACTGCCTGAGCACATTCTGGCACCTGCTGTATGCAGTTCCAGGGCTGCGCCAGGCTCAGCTCGCAGAGCTGCGGAGCCAAGAACCCTAAATGGCTGACCGAAACACAAGCTCAGACCTTTAGGCCTCTTCAGCAGGAAGGTTCAGGGGTRCAGCTGCAGGCACCGCTGAACCTGGGGCTTGAAGGCATCTCTAGACCCACTTGAGGTCTGTGCTCCACTCTTGGGTTCCCTCTCCTTCCTCTGCACTGTCTCCTTCTCTGGCAGCTGCTCTCTCTAGGCAGCAGAAGTGACAGAAGGAAGTGTCTCCCGGGGGTTTAAACTGAAGCTGGTTAGCTGTCTGGCTGGGTCCTAGGTTCAGCCCTGTGTCAATCACAGTGGCCAGGAGGGAGTTAACCAGACCAAGTCTTGTGCCCACCAGAGGGGTGGGAGCAGCCTCACAGGGGACCTCATTGGATGAGGTGGGGCGTCCTTGAAGGGGAGTAGCTGCCTGATGCCCAAAACCATAACTGCTCTCAGAGAGTTGCTTAGCAACCATGGCGTCCTCTGAGCGTGAGTCTAAGGCACTCTGAGCATTTTATAGCACATGCAGAGAGGTGAGTGGCCTGGCTGAGGAAAGACCGAGGCAGGGGATGGAGAGGAAGGGGGACTGTGGATGAGGCAGGGGTCAGCACACAGGCTCCCGGCTTAGGTAGAGTGTGACTTCGAGCCTGCTGTCCCCACCAGGAGGGGGAAGGAATGTGGATTTTAGTTTGAGGTGAGAAAGTGCTGCTTCTGCCAAGCCTTGCATAGCCTCCTCTTGAAGAACTCTCTGTCCAAGGGATAGCACCAGTGGGGCTGGGCGCCTCTGAGAGTGGCCTGGGGCCCTGGGGAAGTGTTTCTTGAGTGAATAAACAAAGCCTCAACACATCTGGCAGGTGCTGGGTCAGTGGGCAGCCATGCTGGTGGAGGGCGGGGTTCACCCACACCCCAGGGTAGCATGTTACTCCCAGCCCCTTAGCCCTGATCAGCCACATGGCAGGGGCTGACATATCTTGAGCCCCGGCAGGGCTTGGTGTGGCATCTGCCCTTAAGGTCCCATTTCCTGCTTTTGCTGGGCACATGTCCAGATAAATCCCTTTCACCCCACATTCTCTCTCCTAGTCTGTTCCTGGGACAGGAATCCTCTTTTAACCCCAGAAGCCACATAGGCCATGCCCGGGGCCACACTGCTGGAGGCTTGGGGTTGGAGGTCATGGTGGGCAGGGACGTGCTCTGACTCCTCGGACTGGCCCTCCCTCACCCTTCCCTGAGTGGGGATTGTAGGGCCTCAGGGCTGTGGCAGGACCTGTGACGGGGCAAGGGCAGTACAAGGCTGGGCAACCCAGGGAGTCTTGTGTGGCTGGCCAGTAGTGCTGTGGGACAGAGTTGAAGTCCCTTTAGCTGCAAAGCTCCTAGATTAAATAAAGTCCCTCTTGCTTCTGGCATATCAAAGAGCTGAAAGGGACTTCCCCAGTGAGAGCGAGACCAGGGGTGGTCTTCTCCTCTGTCCCTTCCCTGTAGCACCCCTGAGACCGATGGCAGGTGACAGGCCAGGGATGAGGGCTCTGGGTGCCAGGACCAGCTGGGGCAAGGGCCCTGAAGTGTGGTGGGCCACAGGCTCCTGGGCCCTCGCCTGACTGGCATCTCCTGCAGCGGCGCGGCATGAAGGGCAAGGCCCGCAAGCTGTTCTACAAGGCCATCGTGCGTGGCAAGGAGATGATCCGCATTGGAGACTGTGCGGTGTTCCTGTCCGCCGGCCGCCCCAACCTGCCCTACATCGGCCGCATCCAGAGCATGTGGGAATCCTGGGGCAACAACATGGTGGTTCGAGTTAAGTGGTTCTACCATCCCGAGGAGACCAGCCCGGGCAAGCAGTTCCATGAGGGCCAGGTGAGCCCAGAGGGCCAGCTAGGTGTCCTCCTTGTTGGGTCCATATGGGTGTCATAGGGTAGACCTGAGGTCCCCTCTGGGGCCAGGCATTCTGGGTGCTGGCAGCCATGGTCTGACCAAAAAGGGAGGCTGAGGCTGGGATCTAGTCTGCCACTGGCAGCAGCCCCGCCGTGGGGCTGGGGTCACCCACTGTCCTGGTTTGGTCCTGACAGCACTGGGACCAGAAGTCTGGCCGCAGCCTTCCTGCAGCCCTGCGGGCCTCCAGCCAGAGGAAAGACTTCATGGAGGTAGGAGGGCCTCCAGTTGGCGGGGGTGACCACCTTCTCCCAGCATGGCTGGCGGGGTCCCGTGCTCAGACCTAGGCTCTGCCTGCTCCAGCCTCCGACCTCGCTGTGGCCTCCGGCCTCGCTCTGACTCTGAGCTGCCCGGCTCTCAGTCTGTCTCCTGGTCTCACTTCTGTCTGGTCCCCTGTCTCTGTCCCTGAGTCTCAGGACTCTGTCTCTCCTGGTCTCTTGGTCTCTTGATCACGTCTGTCTCTCGATCTTGGCCTCTGTCTGTCTCTGGGTCTCCATCTCAAGGCAGTCCCAGGTTCCTCTGGTTTGGGAGGGGTTCTCCCGACCCTGTGCCCATACCTGAGGCCCCACCGTGCCCCACAGCGTGCCCTGTACCAGTCCTCACACGTGGACGAGAACGACGTGCAGACGGTGTCGCACAAGTGCCTGGTGGTGGGCCTGGAGCAATATGAGCAGATGCTGAAGACCAAGAAGTACCAGGACAGCGAGGGCCTCTACTACCTCGCAGGCACCTATGAGCCCACCACAGGCATGATCTTCTCCACGGACGGCGTGCCCGTGCTCTGCTGAGCGCCCCCCCCCCTCGCCCAGCTGCCTCGTCCCCTGAGGGCCCACAGGGACCCTCGCCATCACTGCCACGGCGCGGGACCATGTGCGTTGTGTGCATGCCAGTGTGCCCGTGGGCGTGTGCATGTGGCCAGGTGTGCACGTGGATGCCCCGGGCAAGTGAGTGTGTGTACATGTGTGTGCCCGTATGCATGCACGTGTGTGCACCCATGTGCACACGTCTCCACCCCAATCTCCCAACCCCTCAGTGCCCCAGGACAGGGGCTCCTCTCTGCTATCARGGTGTGGCTCTGCTGGCCACCCAGGGCAGTCTCAGCAGGGACAGGCCTTGGCCTCCCCAGCACCTCATAAGCACTTGTAGAGGCAGGCCCTCCAGCCCCAGTGGGGGCCAGGTGCCCCCAGGCCCTGAAGACTGGGGGCTTGGTGGGGAGGGGGTTTCTAGGAACCCAGACTGAGGCTCGCTCTGGGTTCCAGCCACCCTCAGCATGGAGTCCACCCAAACCTCCCGCCATGGACATGGGCATCTGGTGCCAGCCAGCCTCACCATCCACGCCAGACTGCTGAGTGCCTGTGGCCTCCACCCTCTCAGGATGGCCTGGGCTTGGGGAGCAGAGCAGGGCCAGGGGGAGCCCAAAAGCATCGGCAGGCGGCCCTGGCAAGGGCCTGCCCCCCAGCCCAGACCCTCACACTACAGAAAATCCCAATGGTGCTGAAACCCTCGCTCCGGCCACGCCTGGCCCTCCCTGCCCAGGAGGGAGGCAGCAGTTCTTAACCTGTACAGTTTTATTGTACCAAGAGACTCGCCCCGCCCCTGTATCATAAGCCTTTAAATGGAGTCAACTTTTTAATTATATATATAAAGATAAATATATATAAATATATATAAATATAAACTTTTTAAAACTGTGAAAAATAGCTATGAAATTATAAAAAAAAAAAGCGAACACATTCTGACGTGCAGAATATTATTTTTTATTTCCTGTTAGATTGTGAGTGTCTAGCACCCGGCTTCACTGGCCCCCCAGCCCCTAGCACACCCCCCCAGCCCATTGTACTGTACTCACCCCCAGCTGAGAAGGAGTGAGGGAGAGGGAGGGGAGGGAGCCGCAGCCCCGCCCCCGCGGGCCCAGCAAGCACTTACCCAGCCCCCGCCTGGGAGCCGAGGCCTCCAGCAGACAATCTTGAGGGAAGGAAAAGCCAGACTTCGGTTTTGTTTTTTGGGGGAATTGTTTTCCTGTTTTTGTTTTGTTTTGTTTTGTTTTTTAAGTTACTTTTGGAATTTTGTTGGCAAATTCTGTGTGATCTTTTTCATAAAAAAAAAAAGAAAAAGAAAAAAAGATTTAATTGGAAAAATAGCATCGCTTGGAGTGGTTCATTTTGGGAGCTGGGCTGGGCTGGGGCCCTTGGTCTGTGGGAGTCCACTACGGGGACAAGGGAGGGCACAGGGAGTTTGRAGGTTGGGCTATTAAAATTCAGCTTATTTAAATGAGGGAACATTAAAAGCTGTTTCTCAGTTGCTCCAGCCGCCTGTCCAGGGCTTGGCAGCGCAGATGGCTAGCGGCTGTGGTATTGGGCAGGACAGGCAGTGCCCAGTGTTTCAAAAGTTCTGTGTCCACACCTGGACAGGGCTCTGCAGGTCCGAGTGGCCGTGAGCCCGCCTTGAAACTCTGGGCCTGGAAAAGCTGGAGGCGGTGGGGACATTGCCTGCCCAGTACCCTCTGGCCTAGGTCAGTTGAATGGCTGCAGATGTCATTCGGGCTTTGCTGTCACGGTTGTGGCAAAGGGCGGGACAATGACGTGTTAACACTGAGGGCAACTGGTGCGACCTCTGTGGCGGGAAGGGTTTGGCAGGGCTCTGAGGGCCTCGCTGCAGTGTAGACACCGAGTCTCCGGATGGGCGCCCTTGCAACCCACAGGTGTCSGGGGAGTGGTGTGCCACCGCCATCTGGTGGCTGCCTCTGGCATTGCCCCTTGGGCTTGGCCCACTTGACTGCCACTTGACATCCCCCAAGGAATGACTGCAGGTTCCCGAGGCCATAGGTCCAGAGCTCAGGTGGCCCTCCATCAAGGGGCCAAATCCCAGTCCTACACCTTGGGAGAAACTGAGGCACAAAACAGTACGAGAATTTGTCCTAACTGTACATACCAGTTAGAACTGGGGCCTGAGCCCCCAAGGCTCAGATTTGTGTCACCTGGCTTTGAGTGCCTGAGGAACAGGGGCCAACCTGCCTCCGTGATCTTCGTGAGGCTAAAGGGGCACCAAGGCATGTGACAAATCCCAAGGTTTCCGGTTCCCCACCCCACACGTACAGTCCCCGCCCCCACACCAGGGCCACCAGACTACCTCCCACAAACATCGGGCCCCATGCAGGGGACCCTTTCCACAGTGAAAAGATAGGTCCCAGCACTGTGAGGCAGCCTCGTCCCTTCAGCACCCTCCTTCACTTCCAATGGCCCAGATGGCTGTCCTGCCCCCACCTCCATCCCCACCCAAATGCTTCTCGGGAGGCACAGGGAGGCAGTCTCTGCCGTCATCTTTTAATGGCCAGTGCGGTACAGTTAGAGGACACACAGGTGGACAGGACACAGCAGGGGACAGGACAGGGCAATTACAGCTGGGGYCAGGGATGTGGAAAGACTGGGGACCTCCCCTGGGAAAGCCATCCTTGGCAGGACATCCCCAAACCAGCCTGATGACTGAATGACCCCCCCAGCCCTCCCTACTTGCCAGACTCCTGGGCTCCACTTGTCCCTCCTTGAGCCTCCCTAGGCCAAGAGGTGACTTCAGTCAAGAGGGCCTACTTTGTGACCCTCCTTCTGTATCGTAGGTAGGCTGAGTGCAGCCCCTGGCCTGTGCACCAGGAGGGTTCAGAGGGAGACCTCGGTAYGGAGGTGCTGCCCGGGCCAGCTGTGCGGTGCCCATGAAGAGGCCAGCGCAGACCAGAGGTACCATCCTCCAGTAAGCGCACTGTTCGGGGGAACAGGGTGGACGACAGGCCCAGGGTGAGAAGGCTGGGGACTGCTCCTCTCTTCTGAGGTCCTCTTATGTCCATGAGGAGGGGTCCCCTACCSCTAACTGGTGCCATGGACAGTGAGGAGGACCATGGGGCCCCTGAAGTAGACCCTGTGGTGGGGTCACTGTGAAGGGGACACCAGGAGGCTGGCTGCCATCCTGGGTGGGGAAGGCTGGGTCTGACCCTGCAGAGTGCTGGCCTGGCTAGAGCTGGGGCCACAGGCTAGATGGAAAGGGAATGCAGGTGTGAGGCTGGACGTGGACACAGTGCTGGGCAGAGCCCTGGGTCACTAACACGTTCCAGGCTGGTGTGGCTGCTGGACCCAGAGAGGTGGCGTTAGTGGTATAGGAGGAGGCCGGGGCCCCGCAGGCACTGCAGGCAGGGAGGGGGTGGGGGCCTCAGGGCCCCTGGTCAGCCTGAGCAGCCCTCCCTGGGCAGCAGGAGGGCCAGCAGCCTGCCGTGTCCTGACTCAGGGGCTRGCAGAGATGGAGCCGTTGGCGGTGCGGAGGCAGCTGCTGTGGGCATCGCGGGTGAGGCTGTAGGTGCAGTAGGCCACGGCGGAGCCCAGGGTCAGCCCAGACATGTAGGACACCGTCATCGTGTTCCCTGTGGACAAGACTGATCTGAGGGGGGCGGGGCAGCAGCCAGGCCCCAGGGCCACACTATGATGGACAGACCTAGTGGCCACTGCTCAGGTGTGATGTGTAGTGACAACGGCCAGCTCCCAGGGAGCCACCCTGTGTGAGCAAACCTCCCCAAGGACCTGCTGACCCCACTGGGTCTTGCCATCCCTTAGCCAGCTGTTCCTTCTCCCATGAGGGGACCAGGCCTCACCTGCTTCTCTGTCCCCCACCCATTTTTTGGGGGGGGAGGTACTGGAGATTGAACTCAGGGGCACTTGACCACTGAGCCACATCCCCAGCCCTATTTTGTATTTTATTTAGAGACAAGGTCTCACTGAATTGCTTAGCATCTTGCTTTTGCTAAGGCTGGCTTTGAACTAGCGATCCTCCTGCCTCAGCCTCCTGAGCCTCTGGGATTACAGTCCCAGCCCCCCACCCATTTTTGCCTCCAGCTTCTGACCTCCAACTGCCTCCTCGTCAGGGACCCTTTGGGATGTCTGTTGGGCACCTTGAAGTACCATGGCCCAAATCTGACTCCAACACCCCGACCCGTGGGCCTCCTGTATCTCAATCCATGGCAATACCAAACTTCCTGTCCTGAGTGGTGGCCCCGAACCTTGGGAGCCCCATGACTTTCTCACACTCCCTCTCCTAATCTGTCAGTCCCACAAGCATGGAAACGTTGTGTCCCTGATGCCTAGGCACTGCCACAGAGGAGGGCCACCAAGTAGTTGTGGAAGGAAGGAAGGAATGATTGGCAAATGTCCCACACCTACCACCTCCCGGGCGTTGTCTAGTCCCCTAAAACCCAAGTGCACCCTCTTGCTGTCTGGCTGTGGCTCCTGAAGGCCTCGGTGTCCTCACTAAGTGGGGCTGGGCTGCTGGGAGGGAGCCCCACGTGTCCCTCTGTCAGGCAGGTCTTACCTGCCAGCTCGCGCTGTTTGGGGCTCACTTTKCCCGCCGCCAGGATCATGGGCACACTGCCGAAGTAGCCGTTGCTGATGCCCATGAGCAGCGAGAAGATGCAGGGCCAGGCYGGGTGGCGGAGGGCCGGCGTGCCGCTGGGGTAGACGCACAAGATGAAGAGGGGAATGAAGACGACGCGCAGGCAGGAGCAGGCCAGCAGGTGGGTGCCCCGCCAGTCCACGGGCAGGGCYGCCAGGATCTGCAGGGAGCCAAGTGTTGGGACCCCGCCGGCCCCTGCCCTCCCCAGCCTACCTCCTCTCCAGTCCATCTCCACTATAGACTCTGGCCACCCCCTTGTCCCTAGACACCCTGGGTCTGTCCAGAGCAGCACGGTCCCTCAAAGATGCACCAAAGCCCAACGATCACAGCAACAGATGGTCCTTGTCATGTGCCTGACCCCAATCTAAACGCAATACCCTCAGGATGGGACCTTGACCCTATTAGAGAAATGAGGGTCAAGCCACCCGTGTCACACACCGGACAGTCGAAGGCCAAAGGTCTGGATCTGCTCTCTCGGCCCCGCTCCCTGGGAAGCACAAACTCATCCCTCAGCCCTCTCAGCAGTGTGACCCCAAGAGAGTGGCTTCCCCATCCATAAGACAAGGCCCGTCCCCAACCTGCGTAAAGCACCAGAAACCAAAGCATGGACCCCACCCGCTGCAGGTGAGGCAGACGGTGTGCTGCGCAGGTCATTGTGGTCCCTTTGGGTGGCTTCTGCCCTCTCCATGTACCTCGAGGGCCTGTGTCTGTGCTCATCCCGGGAGGACCACCCCAGAGACCCACTGACTAGTGACCATGGAGCAGGAAGACTGGGCAGAGGGGCCGCTGAGACGCAGCGGGCACTCGGAGCCACCTTTCGGAACCAGGCAGGGGCTGCCGTGGGGGGATGCTGTGGGGACCTTGACGTTGCATGGCTGCCACTCTCCTGCCTGGGACCTGTATGCATCCTCGGCCTGGGGATCTTCCTGGGTGGGCCTGGGCCACCAAGGGCAGGGCGGGCAGGAAGCCCACCTTGCCCACGAAGTCCGAGAGGTTGAACACGGCCATGACCAGGATGGGCAGCCACTCGCCCAGCACGCAGTGGCGGATCTCGGATTCCAGGCCGGGGAACAGGCACAGCGTGATGAAGTAGGTCACCGCGATGGAGAGCATGTCGGCCCAGATGACCCGTGCCACCACGTAGCGGTGCAGCAGCAGGGCTGGGGGGGTGGACAGGGTCAGAGGGCAGCACCCCCAGGGGCCTTGCCTGCCTCCCACCGGGGCACCACCCACCAAGCAGCCAGGACAGTGGGGTCCATGGGGCCATGGGGGCGAGTGGGCTCCCTCACCTCTGAAGGTGGGCCAGCTCCGCTTGACTCGGGGCCGAGGAACGTCGAAGCGCATGTAGGCCCCCCCGCCGCCGGCCACCTCATGGGCCGGGCTGTCCAGGGAGTCGCTGTGGGCCACCGCAGGGGCCTGGTGCTCCTGGAGGGAGGATGGGGAGGGATGGCGTTTGGAGGACAGGACAGAGGGAGGCACTGACCAGGCATCGGAGCCCAGTGAAGGACAGCCACGCTCAGGCTAACGTTCAGTTAGCRCCTACTGTGTACCGACGCCCTCCTTCCTGTTCACCAAGAGCCCTCTGACTTCCGAGAGAGCGAATTCCTTCTCAAGACCCTCTCCCCACTTCTGACTGAGCACGGCACCCCACCCACATCTTGCCCAGAGGCCCCTCAAGGCCTCCCGCCACCTCTTGCTTCCTGTTGTCCCAGAAACACCCCCAGCGGCTCCCAGCCTGAGTCTCTGCCCAGGCTCCCCGCCAGCCCCTCCTGGTGGCTTTGCTACTCCACTTTGGGGGAGTCACTCTCAGCCCGGAAGTCCCTCCTCGAGCCTCTCTGATGGAGGGGTCCCCCCAGATGGCTCCCCATGGGCTCCGACAGTCACTGCTGTGTCCCCAGCCAAGGGTCCAGGTGATTCCCTACACCCACATCTGCAGGACCATCATGGTGAGGACCCTCGGTGGCTCCCCTTGCCCTGCCTCCCCCGGTGTCCAGCACTCCTGGCCTGCAGTGTCCTCAGGCCAGATACCTGCCAGCTGCAGGCCAGGGTCGCTATGCAGCATGTGGCCACCAGAGGGCACCCCAGCTTCCCGGAAGGTCCTCTGCCCTGCCCAGCCGTGATATCACCCAGAGAGTGATACCGAGGCCACTAGCTGGCCTGAGTCCTTGTGCTGGGGACCCTGCAGGGGAGGTGCCTCTGCTGGGGTTATGAGGCCAGCAGTTGGCCCCTGTTGGGCCCTGACCTCAGCAAAGCCAAGAGCCACAGACCTGAACCCCCATTTTTGGCTCCTGCCTGGGGCCTATGATTCCCTGGCTGCCTCTGGTGTTCTCCTCTGTGGGGATTCTGGGGGTTTGTCCCACCTCCTGGGTCCTCTCCCTGACCCTGGACAGGAACCCAGGGCAGAGGTGAGCCTTGTTGCCTTCCTGGGAATCTGTACCAACCGGATGGGAACTTCCATCTACAGTACGTGGGGTGTCACAAAGAAAGGGACCGTGTGCACCCCACTTTGCAGGATACAGCAGCTGAGGGAGCCCCGAGCCCCACAGAATGGAGATGGGTGCAGCCTGAGACCCTGGGGCTAAGGAGGGGGTCCAGAGAAGGAACTCGGCCAGGATGTGGGCTGGAGGCACATGCCCAGGGCTGGCGGCGGGGATGGACACCGACCAATCCGCACCTGGAGTGCGCACTTACAAAGTGGATGTCCCCTGCGGCGACGTCGTGGTGTACGCGGTAGCCCGCCTGGCAGCCTCGGCTGTCCCGCGGCCGCGTGGTGTAGTAGAGCACAAAGCGGCTGCGCCGCACCAGCAGATGCAGCAAGAAGCAGAGCAGCTCCAGGCCCACGGAGACCAGGAAGAAGATGAGCGTGCTGGCGCGCTCGTCAGGCAGCAGCAGCTTGGTGAGGATGCGGCTCAGGGAGATCATCACCCCCGCGGTGCCTGGGRCAGGGACCAGGGGCTCGGGCCTGACCCCGCCCCCAGCCCGGCCCCATTCCACCGAGCCCCTCCCAGCTCTAGCCCGTCCCTTAGTCCCCCACCCAACTCCCGAGGAGCCCAACGCAGAGGGACAGTGCAGGCTCACTGCCTCCTCCAGCACTGTCGGCGGAGCTCGGGCCCTCCACGTCTGTCTGTTTCTCAGCATTTCCTGAGGGCCCAGCATGTCCAGCCCTGAGGACCTAGTGGCAACACACAGGGCCCTGCCTTCTTGGGGCTTGTGGGGACATGTTCAAACAAGTCCCAGAAGCACAGGTCGCAGATTGGGGTCAGGGAGCTGTATCAAGTTTCTCACAGAGCACAGATGTGGGCAGGGGGTGTTAGAGAGCTCCTGTCTCAGGAGGGGACTGAAGTCTGCAGGACAAGGGAGTCGGGCATGGACTGGAGGACTAGTGTCCCTGGCAGGGRGCTGGTAGGGGCCATGTGCTCCTGTGTTAGAACAGAAGGAAGCCTGGCCCCGTGGCACACCCCTGTAATCCCAGCAACTTGGGAGGCTGAGGCAGGAGGATGGAAAGGTCAAGGTCAGCCTCAGCAATCTAGCAAGACTCTAAGTAACTTAGTGAGAGAGACCCAGTCTCAAAATTAAAAAATAAAAGGGGCTGGGTAGTGGCTCAGTGGTCGAGCACCCCTGGGTTCAATCCCTGGTGCTACAAAACCAAACCAAACCAAACCAAACCAAACCAAACCAGGAGGCCGGAGGACACGTGGAGAAGGGGTCTCAAAGCACCGGCCCCAGTGCACGGCAGGCCAAGAAGCAGGTGGCAGGACAGCCACTGAGACCACGCACTGGTGCCCAGGCCAGCCCACAGGCCCTGGAGCACTGGCTGCTGGGTAAAGGACAGGCTTGAGGGCGGGGTCTTGGTAACTGGGCAGCTAGCAGGAGGTGGTTGTGTGGCTCCGAGGCTCTGAGAACAGCTTGGTGTTGAAGGGTGACACCCAACATTACAGGAGAAGAGGGACTGAGTCCCCGACACACACACACACACACACACACACACTCGGGCACACTTGACATACCACATGCAGCCTTGTGGGCACTGCCACACTCCAGTCACCACACCCCAGAAACAGGGTGCGCACATGTATGCACGCACATCCACCCCTCTGGTGGGGAGTGCGTCCCACTCCACCCCTCCCCAGCCAGGTGAGGAGATAAATCCCCAGCCCAGCATTCTCAGGGCGCATGTTTGGGGGTCCCCAGGAAGAAGCTTCCAGAGCCCAAGGCAGCTCAGTGCCCCCGGGGGTCTRCGATACTCACTCTCCCCGGTCATCACCCCCTGCGTGTACCTCTTGGGCAGCATCCCCGTGTACCCATAGAAGCTGGATTGCTGCACTTAAGAGAGAGAGGGGGAGACCGTGAGACACCAGCCGTCACCTACATCGCGCGGTGACCCGAGCCCCCTGGGGTGGGAGAGGGTGTGTGCAGAGAATTCAGCTCCACTGCTGGTTGAGAGGGTCCCTGAGACCGCCTTGCAGCTGCCTTAGGAACAGGGATGTCCCCTGTAGTGCCCATAATGCTGTCCACATCCCTGCCCGTGGGGTTGGTCAGAGGCACTGAGGAGCCCTGGCCAAGAAACAGGAGCAGAGAGGACATTGCCACTTGAGGACGAGGCCGTGCAAGCTCCCTTGGCTTTTCTGTCTTCCTCCAGTAGTGACCCAGGAGGCCACCTGGGGGAGGCTGTCAGACCGAGAACCCCAGTCCCCACGAGACTGTATGGGACACAGCTGTGCCCAAGAGCAGGACGTGCAGCAACAATAAGCAACGGTTTCATTACGCAGCCAGAGGTTTCTGGGGCCCCCAGTACAGCATAGCTGCTCTCATCCCACCCAGCACCGAACTCCAGCAGCATCCAGGGAAGATGTGCTGACTTGGACCCCCACAGCCACCAAGTCCCAGAGACCCCACTGCCTCTGTGCCAATCCCCGCCCCCCCATAGTACTGAGGATTTGACCCGSTTGGGCTGTGCCACTGAGCCATATCCCCAGCCCTTTTAATTTTTCATTTTGAGACACGGTCTCCCTAAATTGCTGAGGCTGTCCTCAAACTTGAAATCCTCCTAGGGCCTAAGCCTCCCTAGTAGCTGGAATCATAGGCATGCGCCACCGCGCCCAGCTCAGCATTTGCTTTTTGACAAAACAGACCAGACCTGGGCACACTGCCTGCATGGAGACCATGATTTCATGACAACATACACATATGTGCGTGCATTTATGGGTCATCTTGTCAAGTGCGTTCCTTCTTGGAAGTCATAGTAAAATAGGCTGTGGCTGGGGCTCAGAGGCAGGACATTTGCCTGGCCTGTGTGGACACCCTGGGCTGCATCCCTGGCGTTCACTGTCCCCTCCCCCAAACAAAAAGTTTGAAAGCCTGCAAAACGATCATCGTGGACCCTCACAATGTCACTGCCATGAATGACAGAGACATGCCGAGGAATCACCCCGGATTAAAGGAGATGAAGAGATGGGCCCGTACACGCAGCGTGTGACACTGGAGTGAATCCAGGTCAGGAAAAAAGTGATAMCAAGGGGCTGGGGTTTGGCTCAGCTGTGGAGCACTAGCCTAGCAGGCAGGCTGAGGCCCTGGTCCCACCCCCAGCACCAAAAAACAAAACAAAACAAAGGACTGTCACTGGGGAGTCACTGAGACTTAAGTCTAGATTGTGGCTTCCATAATAGTACCCTTACGTGTGAAATTTCCAGATCGTGGCAATTGTAATGTGGTTAAATAGAAGAAATATCTAAATTGGCCCCAGTGACACACACCTGTAATCCCAAGCTCAGGAGGCGGAGGCAGGAGGATACCAAGTTCAGGGTCGGTCTCAGCAACTTAGCCAGACCCAGTCTCAAAATCAAAAGGGCTGGGACTGTAGCTCAGGGGTAGAGCATCCTTAAATTAATTCCCGAGTACAAAAAAAAAAAAAAAAATCTAGAAAATACACCCTGAAGTCTTAGCRTTCAGGCAGCAAAGGTGAGACGGTTTGCGGGGAAAATGAATTATTTTATATTTATTTATATTTAGGGGAAACTGACGTACAGACTGGGTAGGGCGGGCGTAGGGGAGCTCCTCATCTTATTCTTGCAGGCTTTTTTTTGGTTTGCAATTTTTTAAAATAAAAGACTTTAGAAAAAATTTGAGAGCCTAGCCCAAGAGGAACAGTGACACAGACAGGAGGGTCCTGGCATGCTGGGTCACATCCCGGAAGCCAGGGGGCTGCCCGGGCACTGGGGCCGCGTGGGGGCGGTCTCTGCACAGGCAAGTGGCTGTGTGGCCTGGACGCTCAGCCCCCATCGCGGCCAGCCCTGCCCGCCCCAGCCCCCTCCCTACCTGTGCAGCCGAAGGCCACGGTACCCACGGCGGCCAGGTTGATGGCATAAGCCTGGTCGTGTGCGAAGAGCTGCAGCCACACGTCACAGACACTGATGAAGAGCAGGGGGCCCAGGGCTAGGAGGTAGCCTGTGGGGAGAGGCCGGTGAGGGACCCAGGGCGGGCTAGGCGGCCCCCTCCACCGCCCCTTCCCTGGGGTCAGGTTGGAGGCGCCCTCCCCCTCCTCCTCCCCCTGAAGCTGGACACCGCCTTGGAAGGGGAAGGAAGAGCAAGGTTGAGTCAGGAGAAGAGCAAGTGCCCGGAGGCCTGGGAGACAATGTGGAGGCCACAGAGCCTCTGGGGGTGCAGGGTATCCCATGGGCTCCCAGAGGCCCCACTAGGACCTGACTCTGTTTCCCCCCATAGAAGCCCATGGCATCCTTAGGAAATGTGCCCACTTCACAGACAAGGAGCGTGAGGCTCAGGGAAAATGGGGGTAGGGGGACCGGAGGGGGTCGCGGAGGGACGGGGGGTGGGGTGGGGTGGGGTTTGAGCACTGCGCAGGCGCGTGTGCTGGGAGCCGGCGGGTGCACCCGTGGTGATCCTGGTGTGCAGGTTCAGCCTCTCCACCAGGACGTTGTTGAGGAGCACAGCGGCCAGCGCCACCAGGATGTAGGTGAGGCTCATGTCGAACACAATGGAGGTCCCTGGAGGGCCAGTGACAGCAGGTACTCAAGAGAGGGCCACCCTCTGCCCATCCTCGCTCACTGCCCAGAGGCCACTCAGCAATTCACAGTGGAGCCAAGATCTGAATGAAGAGGGTGGCCAACAGGGTCCTGGCCCAGGGGGTTTCTGGAAAGCCTCAGTCACTGAGCACCCCCTGAGGGCTGGGTGGGCTGGGGAGCACCCACCTGGGTACTTGTGGTGCAGGTAGTCAACGTCGGTGATGAAGCTGTTGTAGGGCAGCAGGAAGCCCACGCCCGCCAGCAGCATGGCGAAGTAGATGGCATGGTAGCGGTCATCGGGCACTGGCTCCTCCTCTGCCAAATCCCAAGACCTCAGGTGAGGTGTGGGCGAGCCCACTCGTGCCAGGCCACAGCACCAAGGCCGCTGTCCACCACCAGAGCCAGTGTGCATCCCTAGGGCCACAGCTGCTCAGGTGCCTGTCATCACGGTCCAATGCAAGTCTGATCTCACAGTCACTCGAGTTAGGGAAACTGAGGATCAGAGACCGTGGCCCCTTACCCAAGGTCACACTGCTGGGCTGAAAGCCAGCTCTTTGAACCTCACATCCAATCTTTCTTCCAGGCTCCTTTGCAGTTAGGCATGGCTTGATTTGCCCAATGAATGAGACCAATGTCACTTCTATATAAAAGCCTCATGGGTCAGTGCATGATTCACATGTGCCCAGTGAGCATGTGAGTGAGCATGGAGGACCAGGGGAAGATAGAGCCTCCTCAGCTCTGACCTTGGCTCTGACCTGTGGGTGCAGAAGGCTCTTCTGCATGGGACCCAAGGCACAGGGCAGAGGCTGAGTCAGGGTGCAGGGCTACCACATCCCAATGGGGCCTCCCCTCAACGAGGACCCCAGTGTCCTCTGCCCTGGGCTGACCAGAGGTCGTGAGGCCAATTCCCGTTTGGAACTCACCAGAGTCCATGGATGTCAAGATGCCCCTGGCCCTAAGGCTCTGCTCCCGAGCTGCCTCCGCCGCTGCTGCCCTGGCCTCCAGTTGGAGGCCCTCGAAGCCGAAGCTGGTCACCACAGTCCTGTCAGGAGTGCCGGCCACACTGGACTCCTTGAGGCGCTGGCTTCCCACGGAGCCCATGGTGGCCTGTGCTGTGGAGGAAGGAGATGAGGCAGGGGAGGGGACAGGACAGGAGGACACTCCTGACCTCATGGCCAAGTCCCCAAACAGTACCCCAGGGGGCCATCCCTTCCATTCATTCCTCCTTCTTGATATTTCATCACGAAGGACATGGACTTAGCAGTGAGGTGATGTCACCTCATGTGTCCCAGGAAGCTCACTCGTGTTGCCATGGAGACGGGGTGGGAAGGGTAGAGACACAGCCCAGGAGATCAGCTCAAAGGCTGAGCAACCRCGGTGGTCTCTGGGCGTGGGAAGAGATGGAGAGCAGGACTGTTTTGGAGGCGGAACACCAGCACGAGGTGAGCAGTCAAACCGTGGGGGACACCATGGAGCACTTTGTGCCAGCACCAAGCTTAGAATGCCTCTCCGGGTGTCCCTTGTCACCGGGAGGGAGGTGCTGAAATTCATTCATTATTCAGCCAGCAAAAGGGAGAGTTACGGGGTGAATAACTCCTGCTCTGGCCTTTAAGGCAGAAAGTGGTAGAGTCTGGACCCAACATCAGTCCGTGGGTCACTTAGAGCCCCCATGCCCCTCGGGATTCTGAGGCCAACCACCTTCAGTGGCAGGCAGTTCTTTCGATGCTCTTGCCTCAGTGTTTCTTGCTTCGATTTGGATCTGCTAGCCCTTGCCTTTGGGGGAGAAGGAAGGAGTTCAGTGTTCCATGATAGTGAGAGATGGGACACCACAGCACAGGCTCCTAAGACTGGTGCCTCAGCATCCCTGGCCCCACAGGCATGTGGGATTTATTGYGGAGGAAGTGGGGAGAAGCCAGCCCCAAGGGATCTTCGAGCCACAGTTATTCCCATTATCCCTGGGGCTGATCTGCGGCAGGCCTCTCGCTCTTGCCTGCCCCTTCCCATCTCTGGGGCCCCACCACTCCAGCTCCCCTGCCTCAGTTTACCCCATTCCCAGCCGCCAGGTGGCCTGTGCAGACTTGTCACCAAGCTCTCTTCTTGGCTCCTRTTCCCCTTCCCTAGGTCTCTAGCAAGTTTTATTGGAGCCAGTGATGAGGATGGGGGCCTTCCTGGGCCAACCCAGGTGATTGGTAGCCATGGCCAGTGGAGACGAGGTCAGGGGCTTCTCCTTCTGGGGACTGGGAAGCCGGGCTTTCCTCCCCTCCTGGTTGAGCCTCTCCTGACAGTCCCCTCATCAGTCTTGCTCCTCTGGCCACATCTGGCACTGGGGGAACTCAGCAGGGTCTAGAACAGAGATGGCCTAGGCTCGAATGTTGGTGGTCCTGGGCACACCCTTGTCCTTGCCTATCAACTGGACACACCAGCCTGACCTCAAGAGTGTGGCTTGGAGACCCTTGCTCAGGCCCTTCTTGGGTCCTGGCCCACCCGTCCTCCTCCCTTAGACATGAAGAGCCAGGGGAAGGGGGGACCAAGGGAGAATGACAGTCCACAACAATGACAGTCCACTCCTGCCACCAGCCCCCTTAGGATGAAAGTGCAGCCCGATGGTCATCCAAGTCCTAAGAGGAAGGGCTTCTGAAATGCAGCACCGGGTCCCACAGTGTCCTGGATGTACCCGACCAGCATGTGAGGCTTCCGCCTCACTGAGGCCACCCCATCCGGGAAAGCGGATGTGCTCAGCGTCAGGCCAGGGGGAGGCCCCTCTGCTCCCTCGGGCTCATCAGTGTGGCGGGCAGCTGCCACCTACACTGCCCGCCTCAGCCACCATCCCATGGCCTTTAACTCTCTCCTCCCCCGACACCCTCACTCACACCAGCTGCCCAGGGCTTCAGATTGTTCCTCCTCTTATGTCCCCTTTACTTAAGATTTAAGGACATAAATATAACACAAACTTGGTGTTTATAAGACTCTTCTCTGCTCCTTCACCCTGAGCTACTAGGATTCCTCTGTCCCAGCCCCACAGAGCCGCTCAAATGACACAGGTCATTTCTTTGGCCTTAGACCACCCTTTGGGCCTCAGTGTCCCCACCTCCTTATTGTGAGGACACAATAGAGAAAGAACAAGCGGGGACAGAGTATTTCATAAATGGAGAGGGCTGGGTGGTTAGTAGAGAAGGTGTGGCTGCACACAGTAGGTGTTCAATAGTGGCATAAACTGCCACCTAGAGAGCACCATGTGGGCCAGGGCGCTCCTGATCCTCAAGTTCGGCAAAGGATGATTCATGCCCACATTTTACAGAAAGGGTGACTAAGGTGCCCAGAGATTAATCCAGGGTCAGGCAGCTCAAACTGGAGCTGGGCCTGACAGACCACCTTTGGCCCCACCATGGCAGCGGGGACTGCCTGTGCCCCGGGGCAGTGTGGAGGTGCTRAGTGTCAGTGCCAGGCTGACCTGGCTCTGAGGCTGCTGAGCTCCACTTCTAGCCAGCAGAGGGACAAGGGAAACTGAATTTCACTTGGAAAGCCAGTCTGCTCACACTCCTAGGCCTTGAACTTCTGGCTCCGCCACAAGTCCTGCTTAGCTGGATGCCCTTGGATGCCCTGTCCCCTGTCGCTGATCATCCCACAGCCSAGCTTCTGGGCTGCCCAACTCACAGCGGCAGGGTTGTGGGTTTCAAGACTCTCAGGCCACCCCCTTTCTGTAGCCCCCAAAGGACAAATGAATGCAGGGGCCACAAGCTGGGCAGGGCCTGGGATGGAGAGGCTCCAGGCTGCCCAGGCCCACGGCCCTCCCCGGACCTGGGTGCAGGCACGTTCCCAGATGCTCAGCAGCCCCAGAGGCTCCTTCTGCCTTCCAGGCCCCATCAGCAGCAAAGTTGGATCCCAGGCCCGGGTCCCCAGGCAAAGGGGAGACCCCTTAGGCAACACGAGGTGACCTCTGGGCCCAGGCCCCACCTCTTTCGGAGCTTTCCCAAGAATTAGGAGGCGGCTGTCTGGGAAAAGGAGTGAGATGGGCGAGGGAGGCTCAGGAGGAACTTGGGGTGTGCCCGAGGTCGGAGGGAGCGCCAAGACCCAGCTTGGCCTGGGCTCCCGGCGCCTGTCACCTTCCTGGGTCCGGGTCCCGCGCTCGCAACTGAGATGCTGGCCCGCTCCAATGCTGGACGGGGCGGGGGAAGACCCCGCTTTCCGCGACAGGGGTGCGATGGGAGACTCGGGGTGCGGTGGGAGACTCGGCGTCCGGGCCGGCGGAGAGGAGGGGACGCGAGTGGGGCCGCGCGCCGCAGACAAAGGCTCCGACAGGTCCCCGCCGGCGTCTCCCCGCGCCGCAGCTCGTCTCCGCCCCGCCCGCCACCCTGGCCGCCAAGCTTACCTCGGCCGGGCCCGGGGCTGGGGTCTTCSGCGCCCCGCCGGTGCCCCGCTCGGGCCGGGCGCGGCTGGCGTCCTCCGAGGGTGCCAGGTCCGCCCCGGCCCCGGGTCCGCGAGCGCGTCGGGGGGGCGCAGCGGCGGCGGCGAGCACAGCCGGGCCCGCGCTCCGCCCGCCGCCCCGCCCTCGCCGGGCCCGCCTAGGCCCGCCCCCGGCCCGCCCCCGGCCCGCCCCCGGCCCGCCTTCTCTCCCCCTGGCCACGCCCCTTCCCTGCCTCCCTCCCCGCTGCTCCATCTCCGCTCCGGACCCGCCCCTCCTCCCCATCCTCCCGGACCCGCCCCCTCCTCTTATCCCTCTTTCCCCCTCCGCCCGGCCCAATTCGTGCCCCGGGTCCCGTCTTCTCCCTCCCCTCCGCTTGGCCACGCCCCGTCTCATTCTGCCCTCCCCCTCCACCCGGGTCTACCGCCGGCCCCGCCCCCTCAAGTAGGCCACGCCCCTAAGCCCTCCCTGTCCTCCATCCCGTMGCACTCGTAGGGGTGGGGGTAGGGCCCAGACCGAGGTCGGGATCCCCCGATCCCCGACCCTTGGGGGCAGAGCTTGGTGGCTTTGACGACCTCAGGGTGGCTTGCGGCTGACCTAGCCCACCTAAGAATCAATGGCAGCCAACCCCCCTTCACCTTGGTGCCAAGCCTCTTCTCCTCCTCTCCCCGGCAGGATGACCAGACTAAAATTTCCCAGGTTGAGTGAGGAGTTGAGAGAGAAACTGCCCAGCGGGATGCCAGCCCGGCCAGGGAGCGGGGGTCCCTCCTCCACCCCTGCACCCGTGCGGCGCTCGCTGGACTCCCACTTCTTCCCAGCCTGGGATCCCACCTGACTAGGTCGCTTCCCATCTCCGAGCCTTGTTTTTCTCCCGGGTCAATGGAATTCTAACCCTTCCTAAGCACTCGCGCTTTGCTTGAGCTTCAGTTTACTGTCTGGGACATGGTCCTGAGAGAGGCCATTGAAGCTCAGGAGACACCGTGGGTTGCTGAAGAAGACTCCACACTGGTCCTGTCATTAGAAATGAGCCCACCATTGGGGCAGGTAGAAGGGCGGTGCCAGAGGTGAGGTCAGGAACCAGGTGGGAAGCAGAAGGTGCCCTGGGTCTCTCCAGTGTAGGGCTGTACGGGAGGATCAGGGAGGCCTCCCAGGACTAAGGCACCAGCTGGGATTGGCAGAGGTGCCAGCCAAGTAACCTGCCAGGCCCCACCTGGATGCCCTTCCTCCCCTTTCCAGCAGACTAGGCTTCTGCCTGGAGCCCCACCTTGACRCCTGCCCCTCCAGGGAGCCTTAGGGTTGCTGTTGCCCATAGCTGGGGTTTTCCCAGGGCCTCACCCATGAGAGGTGAGGTCCCTGAGAGTAGGGACTGCTTCAGGGTCTCAGGGTTCTTATGCTCTGTGGAGTGTTTGGTATACACTCTCCGGGGTGRGACCATCCCCCTGGCCTTCCTCTGCTGTGGTTTGGACCAGAAGCTCTTCCTAAGAATCAATCACAGCTAGAGCCTAAACAGGAAGACAGACCTTGATGCCCCGGGTGTGAGAGGCTTCCAAATCAAACAAGTCCGAGAGTGTGAGACAGTTCTCAAAGCAGGGGACACACAAGGTTTCCTGACCTGATGGGCTTCGATCTGATGGAGGACACTGGCAACAAATARCATAATTCCTAGAGCATCAAGTGCTTGAAAGACAAGAACACAGAGTGATGGTGTGGGCAATAGCATATGATGGTGGAGGAGCAGGTGGGCAGTTGTGCAGGTGGTCAGCAAAGGACTCTATGAAAAGGTGACATCTGGACTGAGAGACTCACATGATGGAAAGGAGCCAGTAGTGGGAAGTTGTGGTGAGGGTGAGGTTTGGGGTGAGGAGAGCAATCTAGGGAACATAGGCAGGGAATGTAGCCAGGGACAGAGGAAGGGAGGACAAAGGATAGGAGGTGCAGTCAGGGACAGAGATAAGCCAAGGAGGGTCTTATTGGCCACCAGAGGAGTTGGAGACCTAGAGAGATTTTATCAGATGAAGGGAGAAGAACAGCTCAAGGTTTTATTTTATTAAAAAAAATATTTTTTTGGTACTAGTGTTTGAGCCACTGAGTCACATCCCCAGCCCACCCCCCTTTTTTTGAGTTAGGGTCTTGCTAAGTTAGGGCCTCACTAAATTGCTGAGGCTGGTCTCCAACTTATAATCCTCTTGCCTCAGCCTCCCAAGCAGCTGGGATTATAGGCGTGCATCGCCACACTTGTTTAAAAAGTTCCCCTTGCTGGGTTGCTGGTGCGAGTGCAAATTGGAACAACCCTTCCGGAAAGTGAATTGGCCTAAAAAAAAGACATGCTTTTTGGTCCAGAAAATCTAGCC